TGGACAGAGATCACAGCCAGTGTCTCTGGGGGCTCTGTCCAGGCGGGTTCCTGACCCCTGCCAGGGCAGCCAGAGGGAAGCTCTGGATTCCCACAGGCCCCTGGACACCAGGATGGGCCCCTGCTTGGAGCTGGCAGCCCCACTCCATCCCCGCCGGCGTGGGCACGGTCCTGGGGCACTGGCAGAACCCCCTGAACCTGGCCCCCGCGCTGGCCGGGAGGTGACCTGGGGGGACAAAGCATCTGCCTGTCTGGGGAGCGCCCTGGCTGCTGCCTCCCGCTCTTGTGTTCCCGTCCCGGAGCGAGACAGGGCCGGGCATTGTCTGCTGGGAGCGGCATTCCCCATCGCCCGGACAACTCGCGGAGCCCGGCTCCTTCTGGAGGAACTGAGGCCTTGTAGAGATAGATTTTTCCATTGCACAAGAAAAAGAAACGTCTCCTTCCAAAGAATAAATAGATGGGAAGGAGTGAGCTGGTGCTGAGCGGAGCTGGGGCGAGCGCCGGAGGATTGCGCAGCCAACGACCTGCGCCTCGGCGGGGCTGAGCAGATCCAGATGCTGCTGGGACAGCTCGGCCTCAGCACGCCTGTGGGACAGCAAGGGGACACCCTGTACGCCCTGTCCCCCTCGGTGTCACACTGTGGGGCTGGGCTGGGCAGGACGGAGCCCGCTGATGTGCTGTGCCCTGTGTGTGTCTGCAGAGAGCTGCGAGGGGGTGGTGTGCGGCCCCGACAAGGTGTGCAAGATGAAGCACGGGCGTCCCCAGTGTGCCTGTGCCCCCGACTGCTCCAGCCTGCCCCGCAAGCTGCAGGTCTGCGGCTCCGACGGCTACACCTACCGGGACGAGTGTGACCTGCTGACAGCCAAGTGCAGAGACCACCCCGACCTCGAAGTGATGTACCAGGGGAAATGCAAAAGTAGGTGAAGTCGTGCCCCTACCCCACTGCATCCCATCCCCATCCTGCCCCCATCCTGCCCCCATTCCCTGTGGTACAAGGAGGGAAGGTCTGTCCTGCTATAGGGCCCTGCAGGACATGGGTCTCATCGCCCCTTGAGGGGACATCGCAGCTCCTTGGTGCAATGGGGTTTGGCCTTGCCACGGGCTGAGCACTAACAGTCCCTAAAATGTCATTTACAAACGTCAAGCCCCTTTTTTTCCTCTTTTGCAAAGAGTGCAGCGCTCCACCCGGCCCTGCCAAGAGCTGTCAGAAGGATTATGGTTATTTTTCCAGCCCTCCTTTCTGGAAGGCTTTGCCTGTCGAGCTCCGGGCCGCGCAGGGAAACGTGGGGCAAGAAATGGGAGTTGGGAGCTGCAGATGCCAAATCTTCCAATCCATCAGGGAAAGAGAGGAGGGTGGAGGGATGATGGGGGTGCACGAGCCTCCACCCTCCCCAGCAGGGCCCTGTGCAGGGCCTGATCCTGCTGCTCAGGCTCTCTCCACCCCCGTGCGCCCTCGTTCCAGGGCTGGCTGTGGTCCAGGGTGACCCTGCCCTTCCCTCTGGCCGGGGCCAGCACGGCAGCTGCCAGCCTGGCCGCAGCGGCTGCTGCTTCCCTGCCAAGGCACCTGCGTGCGGGTCCCGCTGCGCCCAGCTCCGGCCAGCGCCCAGCCTGGGGACTCCAGGTCCTGAGCTCCCCTGTGCTCGGGGTGCCAGCCCCTGCCAGCCCCTGCCCTTGGGAACAGCTCTGATGGGGAGGGCAGCACCCCCCGGCCTCTGGCTCTGCTCTGTGCCCCGGCAGCAGAAGGAGGGAGGGGACTGGGTGTCCCTGGGATGATGCCCAAAGCCTGCCTGGGGTGAAGCAGCCGTGGGAAGGGTACGGCCATCCATCCCCGGGGTCACTCCAAGCCTGTGCTTCCCTGCAGAGTCCTGCTCCAGCGTGGTGTGTCCTGGCACACACACCTGTGTGGTGGACCAGACAGGCAGTGCCCACTGCGTGATGTGCCGGACAGCCCCCTGCCCGGAGCCCACCAGCCTGGACCGCGCCCTCTGCGGCAACAACAACGTCACCTACCCCTCGGCGTGCCACCTGCGGCGTGCCACCTGCCACCGCGGCCGCTCCATCGGCGTGCGCCACTACGGCAGCTGCTCAGGTGAGCGGGGCGGGCCGGGGGGCAGCGGGCACGGACCCCCAGCCCCTGCTCACCCCTCACGCCCCCCTCACCCCTTCCCTCTGTTTCCAGCTGTGGCCAAATTCTCCGCGGAGACGGACAGCGTGGAGGAGAACTATGTGTGAATCGTCCCTCGGCCGAGCCGGAGCTGGGAGACAGGGGCATTATGTGTATATTGTACAAACCATATACCTGATATTTATTAAGATAAAAAGATCCTTATTTATCCCTGTGTATGTTTAGCAGTCGCAGGGGGCTCGGTTCCCATCCTGCCAGCCAGGGCAGGGGGCTCGTGGCCGGAGCCGGGCCACAGTGCCCTGGATGCTCTGGTGCCCGGCAGAGTGGCCGGTGCCCCCCCATGCTGCCAGTGCGGTGTGGAGGGGTGTCCATGGCTCCCCCCACGTGTCCTTGGCCGGCAGCCCTGGGCCTATTTATTTTTGGATTAATTCTCGGTACTCTGCTGACGTTTCTGGCCAGGACCTCGAGGTCTAGAGGGAATCTGCACTTTCGCCTTCCCTGAGGGGCTCGGCCCCAGCTGCCAGTGGCAGGAAAGGCAGTGCACGCTGCATCAGATTGGAGAGAGATAGATATATATTTTTATATATATATATTAAAAAAATACATGTATGTTATTGTCTCCTAAAGTTTCAGCACGTGTGTGTTCAAATGGATTTCAGTTTAGGTTTTCCTAGGCCCATTCAGACCAGGCTCGCACCAGCTTTGGAGGCGCCCGGAGGGCTGGTGCAGTGGCAGCCCTGGCTGGGGGGCACAACCATCCCCCTACCCAAAGCCCATCGCCTTGGGCAGCTGCCCCCAGCCCCCCAAATCCCTGCCTGCCAGAACAGCTTTGGGCACAGTCCGGGCTGCGGGGGGAGCTGGCCCTGTCCCCCCCCAGGACCCCTCAGCGTGGCCCCGCACCCCCTGCTCTGCCCACACCTGTATTTATTTTTACTCCTTCTCTCATTTCTTCCGTTGTCACCTGTGTAAATACCAGCTCAGCTCTGACACCAAAAAGCTCTTGACTTTATATAAATATCATATATATATTATATATAAAAATACCTTATTTTCTATTTTTGTATGACTGGGTTCTGACCCCTGAGGTAGATGCTTTGGGAACATCCACATTCCCTATTCCATATTGTTGGGGCATTTTACGGCTGTGTTAGGATTTGGATCGCAATTAAAAACCAGAATAAACAGTGGTGCGTGTCTGGTTTTGTTGGCGGGTTCTGGGCTGGCAGGAAACGCTGTTCTCCTTGGGGCTGTGCATCCACACCAGGGTTTGGGGCGGTGGGGAGCCCCCCGCAGCCATGAGGAGCTGCATCCCATCTGCTCCAGCTCCACGCTGGGGTTTTCCAGCCCAGCCGAGGCTGCTCCGTGCGGCGGGAGGGAAGGGGAGAGCGGGGGAAGAGCAACCCGCTCGGCAGATAAATCTGTTCCCAATCTCGGGCCGTGCCATGAGGGTTTGGTATTTCACAAAACAATTCCTGCCGGTAATTGGGTCCCGATGTGGGATGTTTCCCGGGCAGCAGCCTGCGGCTTGGCACGCTGAGCTCCACAGGAACTGCTGCTGCATCCCCTGGGCCGCATCCCCTGGGCTGGGGCTAGCATGGCAGCGCCCCTGACCCCCGGCCAAACCCCCTCTGAGCCATCACCAACCCAGGAGCGCATCACAGAGAATCGTGGAAGCGTTTAGGTGGGAAAAGACATCTCAGACACCTCATGGTGGGCACGGCGGGTTCGGCTGCAGCCCCTCTCTGCTCGCCCAGCTCCGCAGTGTCCCCCTGCTTTTGGGGGTGGGTGTCTGGGAGTTCTCAAAACACTGCCCGTGCCCTTCGAGGTGCCAGCACGGGCGGTGGTGTGCGGCCTGGCTTCCTCCACGGCCGCCCCAGCGCTTGGTGCCCAGGGCAGCTGCCGGTGCCGGTGCTGCCCGTCCCGCCCGGGGCTCGGTGCCCGCAGCGGCTGGCGGGCGGCTCGGTGCCGAGCCCGCGGGCACGGGCTGCGGCGGCAACGGCAGCTCCTGTGATGAGCGGGAGATTTCAGCTTCCAAAACACGGCTGTGAGTCAGGCGCCGCCTTCCCACCGGTTTTTGGGTGGTCTGGGACAAGCCGGGACAGGCGCGGCTCTGCAGGCTCCCTGCCAGCGCGGATGCCCTCGGGCTGGCAGAGCTGTCCCGGCATTCCCGGGGGTCTCTGCCCCACGCTGTCACTGCCAGCACCCCACTGGGATTTGGGGCTTCTTTAGAGGCCGGCAGCCCGGCAGGCATCTGTCCTCTGCTGGATGTCCCCAAGGCCACCCGTGCCCGCGGTTTGCATCTCCTGACCCCGCGCAAGGCCCTGCAGCACCCACGGCAATTTGTGGCGGCAATTTGCAGATAAAACAAACAGCCAGGAGCAGGGAATGGCTGGGCCTGCCCCCGGAGGCACCGGGCAGAGGCACGCGTGGCTCAGCCGAGACCCAGCAGCGGCTCCGCGCACGTCCCCGGCCGCTGCGGGTACCCAGCCCCGGTGGGGCGAGCACCGGTCGGGGCGCGGGGGAGGCGGCCGAGGCTCCCCACGGGATGGATCCCTGCGGGTTCCGCCAGCCCAGAGCAGCTGGGAGCCCGCCTGCCCCCGGGGGTGTCTGTGGTTCCCCTCTTTGGGGGGCCACGGCGGCTGCGGTGTGGGACGGGATGGAACAGGATGAGGCGGGATGGGATGAGACGGGCTGGGACGGGCTGGGGAGCCACACCCCGGCGGGAAGGCAGCTGGGGATGCTGCTGGGGTGGCAGCAGCTGGATGCAGAGCCTGGCTCCTCTGGGGAGCGCTCCCCTCCCTCCTGCATCCCCTGCTCCATCCACACATGTCCAGGACAAGTCAGGGGGACCAAAACACAGAGGGGGAGCAGTGGGATGGGGACTGAGCATTTATTGAGGAAGGTCAATGTTGCCACTGCGAGAGGGACTTCTGGTGTAGCCTAGGGGGTACATAATGGGCAGAGAGGAGCTCCTGCCCTGCCCTGAGTTAAGCATCAGCTCCAAGCCCCTCCAGAGCTGGAGGATGAGGAAGTTCTGGCCCGCTTCTCCCCTCCCATGCGACACCTCAGCCCCTCTTCCCACAGCCCGCCTGCCCCCAGGACTCCCGGCCACCCTTGGGCTTCAGGCACCCCTTCTGACCACGGAACCCTCGCACAACGTCATGCACCCAGCCAATGTAGTTGGAGATCTTGGTGTAGATGTCAGGGAACCGGCGGTCCCCACATCTCTCCCCAGAGAAGGAGACAATGCCATGAACCTTGTCCTTGAAGACCAAGGGTCCCCCGGAGTCACCCTGCAAAAGGAGGGGGTGGGAGGGAGATCTGAGGGTCTCCCAGAGGAGGAGGACAGTGCAGGGCAGGGGTTTGGGGGTGCACTCACGGCACAGACTCCCTGCAGCGTGGTGCTGCGGCTGGCCCCGCACAGCATGTTGGCCGAGACCTTGCCCCTCCACAGCGTCCGGCAGAGGCTCCTCTTGACGATGGTGGTGTTGGTCTCCATCAGCTCGCTGGGCTGGTCTCCAAAGTTGGAGGTGTCCCCCCAGCCCATCACGGAGCAGACAGTGCCGGGCTTCAGGTCGGTGTGTGGGGAGGGCAGGCGGATCCGCCTCACGTACTTGTTCAGCGTGGCCGACCTGTTCAGCTGGGTGGGCAGCGAGGCCGTGGGTGGCTTTGCTGATGGGGCAGAGCCCCCCAGCTGCTCCTGCCTGGTTCTCCCTCTCACCCCAGCTCACCGCTCCTGCTGACCCCCCCAGCCCTGCCCGTCCCTCTGCAGAGGCTGGGCCCCTCCCTGGCAGCCCCTCTGCGCTGGTCCCAGCCTGCTGGAGAGACCCCGGGAGCCGTGACCGGCCAGGATCGGTGTGTCCACAGTGCCTCCATCACACCCCACGGCGCGGTCCTGCTTCTCCGGAGAAGCACTGACATCTAGTGTCGGCTCAGCCCCTCGTGGGGCACCCCAGCTCCTCCCAGTGTCCCGGGGCTGTGGGGCACCCCAGCTCCTTCCAGTGTCCTGGGCCGTGGGGCACCCCACCTCTACCCAGTGCCCTGGGACCGTGGGGCACCCCACCTCTACCCAGTGCCTGAGGCCATGGGGCACCCCAAATCCTCCCAGTGCCCAAGGCCATGGGGCACCCCACCTCCTCCCAGTGCCTGAGGCCATGGGGCACCCCAACTCCTCCCAGTGCCCCAGGCCGTGGGGCACCCCATCGCCTTCCAGTGCTCTGGGCCGTGGGGCACCCCAAATCCTCCCAGTGCCCTGGACCATGGGGCACCCCAACTCCTCCCAGTGCCCGAGGCCATGGGGCACCCCACCTCCTCCCTGTGCCCCGGGGCTGTGGGGCACCCCACCTCCCTCTGGCACCCCAGGGCTGCGGGATACCCCCTGCCCGGCTGCTGGCTGCCCGGTTCAGGCTCACCTGGAGCAGGCGGATGTCGTTGTCCGTGGCACGGGCGTTGTAGAGCGGGTGGGCGATGGACTCGACCACGCTGAAGATCTGCTGGGACCCCTCGGGCTCCTGCAGCCGCTGGGCTCCCAGCACCACACGCACCGAGGGGCTGCGCCTGTGGCAAGGAGGGGCTCAGGGGGTGCTGCTGTGGCTGGTGGCCATCGGGGAAGGGGGGCAGCCAGGGGGGCACAGGTGGGAGGGGGCAGCTTAACCCCTTGGGATGGGGTTATTGGTTAGAAGGGGCCACACCGTGTCCAGGAGCATGTGTCCCACGTGGGGACAAGGCTCACCTGGGAATGAAGCAGTGGGCAGCTGTCATCACCCACTTGGGCCACACCAGGAAGCCCCCGCAGACGTGCTCCCCGTCCATCTGGATGGAGGCGATGAAGGGCCGGGAATGGGGTGCTGCCGCCTTTCCCCCGATGATCTGGCTCCCCTGGGTGCCTGGGGGGGTGCAGGTGATTGTTGGAGTCCAGGGTTCCTCTCTCCCACCCCGGGATCTGCCCTGGCACCCCAGTTCTCTCGTTACCTGCCGGGGCCAGAGCAGGGAGCAGGACGGAGCCTCCCAGGCTGAGGATGAAGAGCCCCGCTGTGACCATGGTGGCACAGAGCGGGCCACTGCCACCACCGCTGGGGCTGCTCGGGGTGGGGGGGCTTAAATCCCTCCAGGGGCTGAGCCTTGGGATGGGGGCGGGTATTTCCCTCCTGCATCCTCCTCCGGGTGTTGCTGCTTTGAGCAATTCAGGGCTCGGGGAGCTCCGTGCAGCTTCCCCCGGAGCGGGAGATGAGGAGCAGAGCAGCTTCTCAGCCCTGACTCCTCTTGTGCCTTGAGCTAACTGGGATGAAACCCTCTCCGCAGGGAGGTGGCAGCAGCGGGGCCCCAAGAGTCTCTCAGACCCGACAGTGTCCCCGGGACTGCTGTGGGTGACACGGGGACTGTGCTGTGCTCCCATCCGACGCCTCTTTCAGCCCCTGCAGAGCCCCGCTGGCTCTGGGACGATGCTGTGGGCAGAGGGGCGGTTTCCTCCGTGTTCTGCATCAACGCACAAAGGGGTGTAGGGGTGGGGGGCACGGGGCTGGGGGGATATGCCGACCCTCAGTGCAGAGCCCGGCTCATTTGGGGCCAAGTGCCGAGTCCGTGCCCGGCAGCGGGCAGATTTCCCAACGGAGGGCGGCTTGGGGCTTCCTGCGGCAGTTTGCCCATTGCGGCCGTGGGGTTGGGAAACGGGGGAGCGCAAAGGGGGAGCAAAGAGTCGGCGGCTCCCGGAGTGGGGCAGCACGGAGCGGCTGCATTCACAGGGGAGAGTTACACCCTGACAGCGGCTGTGCTCATGGGGGGGCTCTGACACAGCCCCCCCAACCCGCCCCGCGCCAGGCACTGCACAACCAGGACCCGCTCGGGGACAGCTGCCGCAGCCCCGGGAGCCCCCGAGGCCGGGTGAGGCCGGGACCCCGCCGGGACCCCCGGGAGCAGAGGAAAGCCCGGCGCGCCCCGGGGCCGGCTGATGGGCGGCGGCAGTGGCGGGGCGCGCCCGGCAGACGGAGCTGTGCGGGAGGGAGGGAGGCGGGAGCACCGGCGCGGTCCCGACATCCCTGCGCATCCCGCAGCCCCGCCGGGGATGCCGCCGCCCGCCGGGCCCTGAGCGCCGGGACGCCGGCGGCCGCCGGCCCCGCTCCGCCGCCCCCCGCCCCCGCTGGAGCCGCCGCCGGGACCATGGAGTGAGTACCGGAGCCGCGCCGGGACCCCGGCACCGGGCCGCGGCTCCCCCGGGCCCCGCCGGATGAGACCGCAGTACTGGGGAGGGGGTGGCGGGGAGCGGGGGCCGGGGCTCGGGACCCCCGCGGGAGGCTGCGGGAAGCTGCGGGACGCTCGCTCCCGGTTCGCGGAGCTCGTACCGGGGGCTCGTACACCCCCGAAGCCGGGGCTGGGGAGTCTCGTATCCCCCTGCTCCTGGGCACTCAGCACCCCAAAACCGGAGATTCACATCCCCCTGATTCTGGGGGTTCAGGACTCCAATACCAGAGGTTTGTATCCCCCTATGCCGAGGCTTGGGACCCCAAAACTGGGGGTGGGGCTCGCATTCCCCTCCGTTGCTGTGCTTGTGACCCCAAAACTGGGGGCTCACATCCTGCCAGATACCGGAGCTCAGGACCCCAATACCGGGGGCTCCCACCCCCTCGGTTCTGGGGCTCGGGACCCCGATTCCGGGGCCTCCTTCCCCCCAGCGCCGCTCAGCAGGTGCGGCCCCTCCCCGGCCCTGCCCCGCCGTGGGGTACCGGGGGGCTCGGGGGGCAGCGGCGGCGGCCCCGGTGGGGGTGCGGGGGTGCCCAGGGTGCGAGGGGTGCCGGGGCTGGCAGAGGTGCAGGAAGCGGGGGGGTGATGGGGGGTTGGGAGGGCGTTTATTTTTGTGTTTTGAACCTGTTGTTGCTGCTGCGTGTGGTGGGGTGAGTGGGTGGAAAGAGCTGCGGACCCCTCCCTGCGCTGCACCCCCAGCCCCTGCCCAGGGAACCGGCTGCGGCCGGGGGATCCTCGTGAAACGGGTCCCGGCGGAGAAGTCCGGACAGACGGACACCGTCGGACCCCGGCCCCGTCCTTTGTGTGCTGCGGCGGGGCCCTGGCCGGTCGCTGGGAGCTCGGAGCGGGCGGGTGGGGGAAGGACGGAGCAGGCAGAGGCCACTAGGGGCTTGTGGCCACGGGCTGTCCTACCCTCGAGCTGGTTTGCCGCTTCAGGGACACCAGCGGCTGCTGCCAGGAGGGTGCAGGGCTGGGGGGATGCTCGAGGTGCTGGAAGCCAGCGCTGGCCCTGTCTCACCCAGGCCTCTCCTTCCCTCCCGTGGCTCTGGTGCCCACCAGGGTGAACACCCCAGCAGCTGCCTGGGTTTGGCACTGGGTGCTCCTCCAGGCTCCTCGTGGCTCCTCACCTTGCAGAGATCCACTTGCCACCCGCTACTGAGACAGGGGGTGCTCAACAGGTCCCTCTCAGCACGTCCTGGGCGCCCCAAGAGGCTGGGGGTGTCCTGGGGTCACGGTGGGCTCTGGCTGATTTAGGGCTGAGGTCACCAGTGGGGATGCAGGGATGTTTTGGAGATTGGGGTGCAGCAGCTGCGGGGCTGGGGAGGCAGAGTGGCTCCCCGTGCTGCTGGAGGGGCTGGAGGCAGGGCCGAGGCTTTGAGCAGCTCCACGGCGCCACAGTCCCTGCAGGAAAGAGCCTCTTTGGGGAGGAAAACGAGAGCGATTTGCCAAAAGGCAGCAGCGAGGGGAAGGGCAGAGCCGAGGGGTGTGAGGTGCCCTGGGGAGGGGGTGAGGAGCTGCCGGGCTGGACTGGGGCTCTCCTGGGGCTGAGGTGGGGGATGGTGCTGGACAGGCTGGTGGCTCCTGCCCCTGGCTCCCCATTCACGCTGCTCTGGGCCAGCCCTACCAGCAAGGGCCGAGGAGCCCATGGAGGGGTGCAAAGGGTTTCCCCTGCCAGCTCTGTACACTCGTGTTTCTTTCTTTTGAGTGACCCTGGGTGGGGGGCACAGCCACAGAGCAAAACAACAGGACCCCTCCAGCCACACGGCTCCAGAGCCTGGCTGAGGGGCTGGGGGATCAGGAGGGCACCTGGGGACATGGCGAGGTGCTGTCCTGCTGCTGCCTGGCTCTGCGGTGTTGGGGCGGGCACTGCTGCCTTTGCCCTGGCTCCTGCTTTGCCTTGGCACACGCAGTGGCTGGAGGAGGGTTCTGGCTGCCACAATCCACTGGTGCCCAGGGAGGTTTGGCAGAAACTTTCCAAGTCTGGTAAAGGTTGTGCTGGTCCCACTGGAGCTGCTTTTGTGCCCTCTGCTCCTGCTGCTGTCAGTGCCCTGAGCAGCCAGAGCTCCTGCATCTCACAGCTGGCTGCTCTGCTGGTTTGTCTCAGCTGCTGCTCCCCCCTTGGCTTTGAGGGTCTCCTTGGAGCGAGGGCTCTCCTGGTCCTGCCTTCCCTGATCCGAAGGTGACAGTTGCACCCAGGGGAAGGAGGGAGATTTCTGCCTGAGCAATACCCCATGAGTCCTTTGGGAAGGGACTCAAGCCTTTGCTCCCTGCTGGCATCCAGGGAGAAGTAAAACCCAGGCCAGACCCCGCTGCCTCCTGGCCAGCAAGGAACCAGGAGGGATCAGCTCTGTCCTGTCCCTGTGTCCAGCTGGAGCAGCTCTCCCAGAGGAGGCCATAAAAAGCTCCAAAAGCTCCACCACAGACGACCCCACACAGACACCCAGCCCTGCTTGGGGCTGGCAGATCGTGGCCTCCAGAGCTCAGCTGCATGGCAGGGCCTCTCAGCTGGACCTGCCTTGCTGGGAGGAACTGGGAGGAACTGGAGCAGGTTTCCTGGGAAGCTGCTGGTGTCGGTGTTCCTGCTTCCTGGCCAGAAGCAGCCCCTTTCCCCAGGGGAGGGGATTCATGTGGCTGCAGCTGTGCTGGGAGCTGTGCTGGGAGCCAGGGTGGGCCTCCAGCAGTGGAGGTGGCCCAGGAAAAGCTGAGGAGGAGCCCTGGGACAGGGCTGAGCGGAGGCACAGCCCAGACTCCCGAGTCTCTTCACTGCATCCGGAGCCAAGCAGCCCCCAGGTCCCAGACAGGAGCGGGTGTCAGGGGCAGGGATGAGCCCGGAGCAGGGAGAGGAGCCGGGTGGATCCTGCCCCAGACAGGAGTTTCCTGACCTGGGCTGGGCCCAGCCCCTGGGCTTGGCGCTGGGACTGAGCTCCCTGTGGGCTCTCAGGGCTCGCAGGGGTGCCCGTGCCTGGATCCACGTTCCTGCTGCCTCCTTGGAACATCGTGTGCGGTCTGTGTCCGTGGCACTGCTGGGGGAAAGCTGCCACACAGGCACAGGAAGGCAGGGATGGCTGGTGGCAGGACGCAGGTGCCACATCCTGGCCAGCAGCACCAGGACTGGCTGTCCTGGCCGGGTCGGTGCTCCTGGGGGTGGGGAGCAGCCGGCTCCACTCTCATTCATGAATCGTGGGGGGAGTTTCCTGGTGGAGCCTTGCTCCTCTAACTGGAAGGGAGCTGAGAACCCAAGTGTTTGGAGGGCACTTGAACCATTGTTTGAAAGATCTGTAATTTTCCAATCAAACTCCCTCCCCAAGCCTCCGTTCATCAAATATTCATGGGATCCATTTTCTCCTGGCACTCCCAGCCCACGTCTCAGCCCGAAGAATCAATCAGGCAGCTCCGCTTGCTCTAATGCATCTGCGTTTTCGGGAGCCTGGGGCTGCCATCTCCTCCCCCCGCCTCCCCCTGTCCCTGTCGCTGTCCCCCTCCCCGGGCAGCGGCGGTGGCTGAGGCTGCGCAGGGAAGCGGCTGGGAGGAGTGGGATGAGCACTGGGGGGATGCAGCAGCAGCAGGAGGAGGTGCAGAGCGTGGGGCAGGGCAGGAGCAGCCCCCCTGCAGCAGGACCCCAGCAGGGTCCCGACCCTGGGCTGCCCACGGGGCTCCTTGGCCGTGCACATTTGGGGCCACCCTTGCCCAAACCGCTGCTGCTGCTGTATTTGCCTTCATGGCGAGGTCAGGGGGGCAGAGGAGCAGCTTGAAGCGGCTCTTCACACATTTGGATGAGCTAATGGGAAAAAACGGAGGAAGGCAAATAAACATTATTGTTTCATGTCAGGCGGGAGGAGACAAAAGGTCACGGGCTTCCCTTGTGATGGTGGGAAACGGCAGCATCAGCAGGGCTGGAAAGAGCTGGAGAGCCCAGGGAGAGCACGGGTGTGTGTGTGCTCACACGTGGGTGTGGGTCCTGCCTCGGGCCTGGGGACTGCTGCTGGGGGCTCCCAGGGTGTCACCCCCCGTGTCCCTGCTCCTTGTGGTTCCTGAGGAGCTCAGTGGCTCTGCCATCACCTTCCCACCCTCGTTGGCACCCAGGATGGATCAGGAGCACCAGAACCCTTAAGGAGGTCTCAGTGATGCCACGGGGTGCCAGGTTTGGGGAGGGCACCTGTGGGGCCCTGTGGCCCCTCTGCCACCATGAGCAGCCCCCCACATCCCCTTGAGCATCCCCCCACGTCCCCTCGGCGCTCTCCCGTTGCCATGGTGACGTTGCCATGGCACAGTTGCCAGGGAACCATCGCCAGGGAACCGCCTTCATCAGTCACAAGGGCTGGGCTGGGCCCCATCACAGCGACCCCAGGGATGGGGCATGGCAGGCAGGATGGGTTTTGGGGACCCCTGCCTCCTCCTCAGCACCTGCTCCCAGCAGCAGGGACTGGGGGTGCCGGGGTGCTCCCCACAGCCCCCCTGGATGGATCAGAGCCCCCCGGGCAGGGTCTCGGCAGGCTGAGGGATCCCAGCGAGGGGCATCCAGCCTGTTTTGCGTCTCTCCCCGGGCCAGGAAGATTCCTGGCGTCTGATCTGGAGACTGTAGCAAATAATGGAAAATAAAGAGGATGGAGGAGGGAGGAAAAGCAGAACAGAATGTTTCAGGAGTGCTGTAAAAGTTTGGATCCGTGGAACAGGGCAAGATCCAGGAGAGAAACAGGGCCCAGTCCAACGCCCTGTGAGTGTGGGGTGGACTGAGGGGTCCTGTGGCCCCACACCGGGGGGATCCCTGTGATGATGGGCAGCCCTGGGGGTGTTGGGGTGGTGAGGGACACGCGGGACACGGGGTGTGGGAGCGGTGCCCTGCGCCTGCGCCGCTGGAACCATCACAGCCTCGCTGCAAACAGCACCAAAATAACCGGCACAAAAGCGACACCTTCCCCGTTTGTTTTCCTGGCCTGGATTCTGCGCATGGCAGGGATCCCCAGGGTGTGGGGTGAGGGGAGGACGGCGGCTCTGAGCAGCTCCTGGGTAACTGCTGACTTCGAGGAGGGAGCAGGGGCTCCTCTCGCCCTGCAGAGCCCATCTGAGCTGTGGGTGCCCGTGTGGAGCCCGTGTGAGGGCACATACATGGTGGTCAGAGCCCAGGGTGTCATTTGTGGGGCTCAGCACCCCGATCCCACCCTGTTTGTAAAACCACCTTCCCTGGGAGCACCGAGTCCACCTCTCCATCCCTTGCTCTGGGAAGCAAGCAGAGATGATCCATCACCTGCCAATACCTCCCACCCTAATTACTGCCACGGCTCAGCGCTTCGTTAGTGCGGCGAGCAGCCGGTGCTGTGCAGCGTGGGGGCTCCTGCCGTGCTGTGGGGCACAACCCCTCCTTGCAGCACCCCAGTGCACCTGGCAGAGCCGTGCCAGGCCAGGGGGCGGCTCATCCTGGCAGGGCTGTGCTGCAGAGACGGATGCCAGGAGGAGCAGAGGCTGCTGTGTGTGTGTGTGTGTGTGTCTGAGTGTGCCCGTCCGTGCACATGGGCGTGCGTGTGCCTGTGTGCACAGCCCGGAAAGGTCACGGCCGGGGAAAGGTGTCAGCAGCCAAGAAACAGGCTTGGAATGGAAAGCGTGAGGCAGATCGGAGCTCAGGGCAGCCAGGAGCGTCCTGCTCCAGCCCCTCCCGGCTCAGGGGGAGATGAGAGCTCCAGGGGCTGGGCAAGGCGCCTGCCTCGGGGGATTTGGGCAGGCCAGGGGCCAAGAGGTGCCCAGAGGAGCCGTGCAGGGCAGCGAGGAGGAACCAGGAGGAACCAGGTGGTGAAAGGGAAGGCTCAGCCTTTTTCTGTGTACCACAGTGTCCGGTTTGCTGGCTGCACGCTGTCCCAGTGACCTGCCACTGGTGTCACTCCTCACAGCTGCTCTCTGCTCTCTGCAGGGTCGTGGAGGCCAGCACCCTTCAGCAGGAGAGGCTGCAGGCCATCGCGGTGAGTCCCTGCTTAGGCCAGCGTCCCCGTGTCCCCAAATCGTCACCTGCAGCAACACCAGCAGGGAGGGGGGTGCAGGGGAGCTGGGGCCACAGAGCAGGGGGTCTCCAGCAGCAGAACGAGGATCAGAATGGCCCGTGCCACTGTGTCCCTGTGGAGGCTCTTCTCGGGGTGCCATGGATCAGCTGCACGGTTGAAACAAGGACAGAGCAAGCAACAGGCAGCTGGGAGGTTTAATTAACGAAGCAGCACTTTGATGAGCCCCAAGTGAGGGAAATGAGTGATGATTCCCTCCCTCCCTTCCCCAGGAAGGGCTGAGGATGGTGCTCTCCAGCCATGCCCGGCATGGGCACTAGTAATTATATTAATTAGGGGGCAGTTGGGGGCCCTGCTGAGCCCTCCCAGCTCAGAGCAGGGCACGGGGCTGGTTGAACCCCACTGCAGCCCCAGTGCAGCCCCAGTGCAGCCCCAGTGCAGCCCCACTGCCCAGCCCAGCCGGCCACCGGCCGATCTCTGGTGCACAAAGGGCAAATTGTTCTGGAGCAGAGGAGAAAGCGCCGGGTGAGGCGCCCGGGCTGGGTCTGACTCTGCTGAAATGATCTGGAGCAGCCCCAGGACGGGTGGCAGGGAGGGGGGGACGAGGTAGGGGCTGGCAGCTCGCTCAGTGGGGCCGGCCGAGGGGAAGGTGACATTTGGAGATGGCGAACAGAGCCCAGGCTCTGCCCCCATTTCTCTACACCCTCAATGCCTCAGTTTGTCCCGGGGAGGGCAGGGATGGACACCAGCCTTGCTGTGGGGTGTTCCCCCAAAGTCCCGTCCCTGGGGGCGGCCCCGCTCCCCCTGCCCGGCCATGCCCGGTGCACGCCCCCTCCCCAGGCCGACCCCGGCCCCGCTCTGTCCCCCCAGGAGAAGAGGAAGCGTCAGACGGAGATCGAGAACAAAAGGCGGCAGCTGGAGGATGACAGGCGGCAGCTGCAGCATCTCAAGGTGAGGATGGCCCGGGAAGGCCAGGCTGCCCCCCGGCTGGGCAGGGCAGCAGCGTGACCCCCTTCTGCTCCCCAGTCCAAGGCTCTGCGGGAGAGATGGCTCCTGGAGGGGGCCCCGGCTTCTGCCTCCGAGGAGGAAGAGGCCATGAAGAAACAGATGCAGGAGGATGAGGTGAAGACCAAGGAGCTGGAGGAAACCATCCAGAGGTAACAGAGGCAGTGTGGGGGTAGATATGGGGGTGCAGTTAGACAGCACCCAAGTCCCTGCAGAGCCCCCTGGGCAGGCGGGTGCTGGGATTGAGGTGGATGCCATGTGCTGGGCACAAGGCAGGGTGCACCGAGCTTGGAGGTGCTGCTGGGGCTCACCCTGGAGCCTGAACCCTAAACCCTGGCTGGGTTCTTGCCAGCTTTTGTCCAGGGGATGCAGCCAGAGCGTGCCCAGCTGATGGGTATCAGCTCCCAGCGGTACCCATCGGGTATCAGTGGGAGCCACAGGGTGGGGGGCTCGGATTGGGATGCCCAGGGGGCTGCTGCGTGCCCAGTGCTGGCTCCCACCCATTTCTGTCCCCATCGCGGTGGCCCAGCTCTTGGGAAGGGGCGGGTGGGGGAAGCTGAGAAGGGAGATGGCTCAGCCCCTGCCCGAGCCCCGGCTGGGCTCGGAGGTGTCCGGGCAGCGCAGCAGGAATGCAATCAGCCCCGGCGGTGCCGCTAATTAGCGAGCAGCGGTGCACGGAGGGGTCAGGCACCAAGGGGCCTTTGTGTCCGGCTAATGGCACTGCATTCCTGGCCGGCGCCGTGCGAGGAGCCCGGGGCAGCTCTGCCCTGGGGACTGCCCGCACCTCTCCACATCCCCGGGGGGCTGTGCTGCCCGCCTGGGGCTGGGAACCCTCGGAAAGCTCAGCCAGGGATGCGTGCAGGAGCAGGACGGTGATGGAGCAGCAGGGTGGTGGTGCCCCTGCCCAGTGCCCATGGTGGGGTTTCTGCCATCCTCTTGGTGCTGAACCCGTTGGCTTTTACTGTGCAAAGAGGCAGCGACAGCCGTGCCAGAGTCCGTGTGTCTGTGTGTCCCTGCACCTTGTGAGCCCAGGGGACAATCTGTGTCCCCCCGCTGCCCTGGCCTGTGTTCACAGCTCTGCTGTGGCTGCCTGCCCCAGTGTCACCTGCCCCAGTGTCACCTGCCCCAGTGTCACCTGCCCCAGTGTCACCTGCCCCACGGTCACCTGTCCCAGAGTCACCTGCCCCACGGTCACCCTGCCCCACAGTCACCTGCCCCACACTCAGCTGCCCCACACTCAGCTGCCCCACAGTCACCTGCCCCACACTCACCTGCCCCACACTCACCTGCCCCACACTCACCTGCCCCACGGGCACCTGCCCCACACTCACCTGCCCCACACTCACCTGCCCCACACTCACCTGCCCCACACTCCCTCAGCCTCTCAGCCCCGACTCTCCCTGCAGGCTGGAGAAGGAGCTGGAGATGCTGGAGAACAGCAGCTCAGTGGCTTCAACCAAGGAGAACCTGGCAGAGGCAGCAGCCAAGGAGGAGAAGAAGGCTGAGGCTGTCCCCAACACGCAGAAGGTGGGTGCACAGGACCCCCACTCCATTCCTGCCCCACAAGGCTGGGCCCCCCAGGTTGCCTTTCCCTCTCTGGCATTGCCCCAGGAGGACACGGGCACTGTTCTGCTGGGCATGGGCAGGGCTGCCCAGAGTGGGGTCAGGGTCCCTGGCCCTGGTGGGGATGGGTGGGTGGTGGGTGGTGCAGGCAGCGGGTCTGTGGCAGGTCCTGGAAGCTCCTATAACCTCTCCCTTCTGTTTTGCAGAGTCCCCTGGGCACAGTTAAGGGTAGGTGAATCCTGATCCCCCTCGTGTTTCAGCACCTCCTGCTGCCCTGAGGCCAGATGGGTGGGGAGAGCCAGACAAGAGCCCTGTCCCCGTGTCCCCTCCTGGGGACAGTGGTGCCCTGTGGCGGGGGAGCCCTCCCAGGTGCCAGCCACGGGGGGACACACGCTGTGCCACCCCGGCGATCGAGTGGGCTCAGGCGCTCGTCTCTCCTCTCATCCCCAGCCGCCAAGAGGGTCTCCAGCAGCCCCATGAAGGCAGTGGAAGGCAGTGAAATGATGAAGGCGGGTAGGTGCCCGCTGCCCTGGGAGGAGCTCTCCTTCCAGGCTGCTCCCCCCTCCCCTCCGCTGCCCTCAGCCTCCCCGCTGTGCCGCTCGATGCCTTTCCAAGCCCAGGGCACAGAACATCCCTCACTGCCATCAGGGTTTGGTTTTGCTTCCACCCCACGGCTGGTTTGTGGCTCAGGGCCCTTCTGCCTCAGTCTCTGCTGCAGTTTCATCCTTCCTGCTCCGTTTGCAGCTTCCCTGTGCAGGGCCGAGGCAGCAGAGTGGTGCCAGAGGGGCACACGGGGCTGGGCTGCCTCACTGGGGGGCTGCAGCAGCTTTGGCTGCTTTGGGGCAGTGGCTCAGACCAGACCATGGCACCAGCATGGGGCAGAGCCCACCTTGGGGTTCTCTGAGCTAAGCACCGTGCACAGGGCTGAGGGGAGCCTGCTGCTGGCAGGGGCTGGCCAGGAGCAGAAGGAGAGATGCCAAGAATCAGCCATGCCAGGGGGCAGAGGGGCTGTCCCAGCCCCAGCACCCTCAGTGGGGGTTGCAGCCCCTTGAGCACGAGCCTGGCTGCCAGCCCAGGCCCCAGGGCAGCACTGCCCGGACAGACGGACACGGCTCAGCCCGGGAACCGCAGCGGCCGTGGAGGTAAGGGGATGCCAGCGGCGCCAGGATGGACACGGGTGCCAAGAGGAGGGATGTGCCAGGGATTCACACCTGCCTCTGCCCTTCACCGCTCCTCGCTGCTGCCTTGCTAACACCGCTGAGCCCTGCTGGGCCCTGCTGAGCACCGCTGAGCATCACTGAGCCCTGCTGGGCACCGCTGGGCACCACTGAGCCCTGCTGAGCATCACTGAGCCCTGCTGGGCCCTGCTGGGCACTGCTGAGCACCGCTGAGCATCACTGAGCCCTGCTGAGCCTTGCTGGGCACCACTGAGCCTTGCTGGGCACTGGTGAGCCCTGTTGGGCACTGCTGAGCATCACTGGACCCTGCTGGGCAACACTGAGCATCACTGAGCCCTGCTGGGCACTGCTGGGCACCGCTGAGCATCACTGAGCCCTGCTGAGCCCTGCTGGGCACCACTGAGCCCTGTTGGGCACTGCTGAGCCCTGCTGGGCACCACAGCGCTCCCGCCACGCGCCGTGCCGCCGCCAGCCTCAGAGCCAGGGCCGGGGAGGGCCAGGGCCGCCGTAACCCGCGCTGTCCTCTTTGTGTCCCAGCCATGTACTCGGTGGAGATCACAGTGGAGAAGGACAGAGTGACAGGGGAGACCAAGGTCCTGTCCAGCACCACCATGCTCCCCCAGAACCACTGTCTGCAGGGGGTCAAAGTGTACGAGGATGAGCTGAAAGGTACGGCCCGCTCCGCTGGCTGGTGGCAGGGGACAAGGGACGGCCACCCGGACATCCCAGCGGGCAGCCTGCAGGGTGAGGAAGTGCAGGGGCTGCTCCTGACAACTTTGCCAGCTCTGAGGGCCGTCCCTCACCGACCCCAGTCCAGTGGATTGCAGGATCGTCATGGCAGCACGGCATGGATGGTCCAGATGGGCCAGCCCGGGTTTGCACGTCGTGACCCTGCGCTGCTGGAGAGCAGAGAAGAGGATCTGTGGTGTCCAAGACTGTCCTGTGGGCAGGGAACGTGCACTAGCACCATGCTGGCCTGTCCCACAGGCTGATGGGGGTGGTAGGGACTGGTCCCTGTCTGCAGCTCCTGCTTTTGGGAATGTCTGGGAACCTGCTCCAGTGGCCTCGTGCAACCCCAGGGACCATCGTGGTGGCAAGGACCAGCCATGGAAGTGGGGCATCCTGCTGGGAACTGTGGTGGCTGAGTGCACCAACCCCTCTTCAAGGAAAACACAGCGCTGCCATTCAACCCCCTCCGCGTGGCCACGGCCGTGCTGGCCCTGCCAGCCTGGTCACTGTCACTGTCACTGTCCCTCCCTCGCTGGCTGCCCACCCAGGGAGGGAAACACAACGGGCCCTTGGCCGCTCTGGCTGTGCCACACATCTCTGCCTCCGGTGCCACGGCACCTGGCACGGCACTGGGGAGGGAGAGGGGGACAACCCCGTGTCCTGCAGGCACAGTCCTGCTGGAATGTGCTGGGAGCACTGTGGGGCAGTGACTGCCCAGCACCACCGGGCTCTCAGAGGTGGCAGCGGTGACAAAGTCACGCCAGCCCCGGCTGCCAGCAGACGCCGTCCCGCCGTGGGCAGCTTGGCCGGCTCTCGGCCTGGCAAAGGGCCGTGGCTCCCGCAGGGCTGACCGAGCCCGGGGCTCTGGGAACAGCTCTGGGAACAGCTCTGGGCACAGCTCCTTCCACCGGGCTCCTGTTTCGGTCTCCCCGGCTGCTGCCCTGATGAGAGAGGGTCTGGCAGCAGCTCTGCTGAGGGCAGGGTTGGGATCTGTGGAGGACCAGCCTCAGCAGCAGGACCCTTGGAGAGGGGAAGGGGCTGCTCTGTGAGCGCACAGGAGCTGGGGCTGGGTGGGTTGTGCCAGCAGGAGCTTTGCCACATCACCTCGTGCCCCCGTGCTGAGCCCCTCTCACCCTCCCTGCTCTTGTCCCCACAGTGGTGCACGCGGTGAGCGCCGAGGACGGGGCCCTGCAGAACGGCGCCCACCCCCTCAGCTCCTCCGAGGTGGACGAGCTCCTGCACAAGGCGGACGAGGCCACCCTGAGCGAAGCCGCCGGGCGCCAGACCCCGGCCAAGGGCGGTGGCAGCGCCCCGGGCAGCCAGAAGCCGACACCACGACGGGAGATCACCGGGCTGCAAGCCAAGGTGCCACCGGGCGAGGAGGGGACAGAGCCCAGCCAGGAGCAACCCGTCACCATGATCTTCATGGGCTACCAGAACGTGGAGGATGAGAACGAGACCAAGAAGGTGCTGGGGCTGGAGGGCACCATCAAGGCAGAGCTGGTGGTGATCGAGGACGCCGAGAGCAAGCCGGAGCCGGCACACAAGGACCACACGCCGCCCAACGGCACCGCCCTGGAGCCGGCGGCCGCCCAGCCGCTGGGCGAGGAGAAGCCGGGCGCCAACGCCACGGATGCCAAGGAGGCCGAGCAGGAGGCAGACGTGAAGAAGCAGCGCTGCAAGTGCTGCACGGTGATGTGAGCCCCCAGCCGAGCCCCCTCCGCCCCGGCCCCGCTCGCCGGGCGTCCCCCCACCGGCCACGGACCCTCTTTCTGCAGAACCGGGGCGATCCAGCGCGGTGCCAACGCAACGGGGCCGCAGCGGGCAGCGGTGGGCACCGCTCGCCCCATCTGCCCGCTGCCAGCCCCGTGCCGCCCCCACCAGCGCTGCCTGTGGTATTTATTAGTGACCCCCTCGCCCCACGGTGCGCCCGCCCCGCCACGGCCCGGCCTCATCCCACCTGCCACCGGCACCGGGGCCTCTCCCTCTGTCACCGACGTGGTCCCACCCGCCGTGGGGGGATGGAGCCGCCGGGCAGGGGGTCGGAGGACGGCGCCGTGTCCGTAGATGACTCCCCGGGAGCCGCCACCAGCGGGACCCACCCTTGGGCGAGCCCACGGTGGGCATGGGAGCCAGCCCCGTGCCAGCCCCATGCCAGCCCCGTGCCAGCCCCGTGCCAGCCCCTCCCTCTGTGCTTGCACTGGGGAAAGGCCTGGCTCTGCTGGCCACTGGCTGCCCACGGACATCTCTGCTCCACCTCGTGTCCCCATCCCTGCGCTCCCCAAGCCCTCGGGGACGGAGCGAGTCCAGCAAGGGGAGGGCATCGAGGGCAGCGTCCGTCCCCTCCCTGGGGTAATGGCCAGGGCCACCTGCAGGGTCACCCAGCCTGTCCCCAGGCCTGCTCTGCTCCTCCCGGGCTCAGCCCCACGTGTTGGAGCCCCTCACTCTGGTGCTGGCAGTGGCAGCCGTTCCTCTGCCTCGGCTGCCAGCTGGTGCCACTGGGCTGTGCCAGCTGAGGGGCTGAACTGTGCTGTGACACAGTGCCCGTGTCCTCCTGGGGCAACTTGGGGGGCCCAGCCTCATGGGGCAGGAATGGGGCGGGGGTCCTGTGTTTCCTGTGGCAGCAGGAGCGTGGCCCAGCGTCCTGTCCCCTTCCTGCCTCTGCCACTCAGCAGCAGCAGCAGCTTTGCAGAGCCACGTTCTGGGGTCCTGGGCTGCAGCTTTGGGTCCCCCAGGGGGGTGGGACAGCCCAGTTCACCCCAGTACTGGCACTGGGAGCTTCCAGGTGTCCCACAGAGGGCAGCCTCCCTGCTGCCCCAGCCTGCACCCCAGCCCTTCAGTGGGGATTTCACCACCAGCACCAGCGTTTTCTCCCCACTGAGACCAGCTGGGGCAGGCGTGGGGGGGGCCTTGTGGTTTTTGCTCCCCTGTGCCCACATCAGCTGGCCCTGAGCCGCAGCAGCCGCGCTGGCAGTGCCCAGATACTTGTCCAGGAGCTTTGGGCAGGGTGCAGCCACTAGTGAGGGTTCCTTCTGCTGCGAGGCTGGGCAAGTCCCCTGGGATCCCCCAAAACCTGCCCAGCCCAGCAGGACACCGGTGGTGGAGCAGCCAGGGACGGGGCTCAGCTCCCCCAAGGATGGGCTTTCCTTCCCCCCACTCCCCTTGTGTGAGCAGTGACACCCCCCTGTCCCCGTGCCATCCCAGTTGTCCCCCAGTTACCACCCAGGCTGCAGTTTTCACCCCAGTGGAGTCATTGCAGGGCTGAGGGGAGAGGGCTCGTGGTGCCACCCCTGTCCTGAGCCCTGGCCAGGCACCCCCAGCCCCCGGGCCAGGCAGGGCTGGGGAAGGGGGGCTCTGGGAGGGCACTGCCAGGGGAAGGGGGGCTCTGGGAGGGCACTGCCAGGGGAAGGGGGGCTCTGGGAGGGCACTGCCAGGGGAAGGGGGGGGCTTCTCCTGCCCCATCCACTGCTGGGCATCACCGGAGCCCCATTGCTGCAGAGCAGGGCATGGGCTGGGTGCCACAGGGCATCTGCCCCCATCGTCCTGGGGGGAATGTCACCTCTTGCCACCCCACATCAGGGGCCAACACCACCCACCCCACCCCACCCCGGGCCCTGCGATCCCCCCAGCCCCAAGCTGGGGCTCCCTGCCCCCTCGGCACCCCCTGCCCCTCGGTTGGCTTTGACCCCCAGCCCAGCCCGGCCCTTGGGGCGGTGGGGAGCAGGTCCAGCCCCCCGGGCCGGGGCTGGGGTGTGAGAGGAGCGGGGGGTGGGTCTGGCATCGTCCCCACCCCGTCCCACAGCCCCCTGTCCCCCCCAGCTCTGCTGAAGTGCACTTCCCGTGCCCCTGAGCTTTTCACTTGTGCCGAAGCCGTTTGAATTCCCTTCCCTTTCCCATCCCATCCCCCCCTCCACCGTTGTTTGTAAAACACCCAAACCGAGCAAATAAACTGTGTGAACAACCAGCCTGGAGCCAGCGATGGGCGGGCGGGGGGAGCTGGGCTGGGGGTCCCGGAGGAGGATGGGGGTGGGAGGTTTGGGGTGGGCTCTGCTGTTCCCTCACTCTGTGGGATGTGGGCACAGAGGGGTCTGTGGCACCCATCTGGGAGGAAAGGGATGAGGGGTGATGCTGGTAAAGGGGACGTGGCAGCCTGGTTTCCTGGTGCCCCCAGGTGCCATCACGGGTCTCTGGCCATGCCCAGGCTGCTGCAGATCCTGCTTCTGCTCAGAGCTGAGATTCCAGGGCTCTCTGCTGGGGCAGTGGGGCCTCAAGCCGTGCTGGTGCCAGCCCAGGTGCCAGCACACACCCTGCGGCGGGCGTGGAGCGCTCCTGGCTCCTTGGCATCACCCGTGGACTTTGGCTCAGCCCCAGGGTAAAACAGGCTCTGCTCACCTGCCCGGAAACGCAGAGCAGCCTGGCAGGGCAGCCTGGCAGAGCAGCCTGGCAGAGCAGCCACCGGCGTCCCCAGGCCAGGCAGTGCCAGCCCCAGCGGGAACGGGGGCACTGAGGGGTAAGTGGGACCCCCCAGCACCCGCAGCTGGGGCGAGCCGGGCTGGGTCTGACACCAGCCCCGTGCTGGGGCAGCAGCAGGGCTGGGAGGGCCTTCCTGGCAGGAGTGGGCTTCAGTGTGGGCAGAGAGGACGAGGACAGGGATGTCCCACAGCTCCCTGGCACGGCATCGCCCGCCTGGCAGTGCCACCCCGTGCCAGGAGGGAGGGCGGCTCTGGGCACTGGCGATGTCGCCCGCTCGGCTGGGATCCAGCCAGATCCAGCACCAAGGACGCTGTGCCACAGCCCTGCCTTCATCCTGGCAGGGGCCAGAGCGACCCAGAGCAGGTGGCGTGTCCCCAGGGAAGGAGGGAGCGCCCTGCTGCGAGGAGCTGGGAGCAGCAGTGCCAGGGCTGCTGTGGCAGTGAGGGCCTGGGCAAACACGGGGTTATCAGCTGGGTGTGACAGGAGAGCCCGGGCTGCTCCTGCCTCAGGGCTCCTCTGCCACCCCCTCCTCTGCCATGTCCTTCCATGGGGGGACAACTGGACATGCAGGTTCTGGCTGAGGCCTCAGGGCTCCTCAGTGCCACCCACGGAGGGGCAGAAAGTGCTGCAGCAATGTCTGTGGCTGCATGGCCACACCACCATGTGGCTTGAGGCACGTTGCTGCATTGCCACTCGGCTGTGTTGACATGTTGGTGCATCAGTGAGTCCCACAGATGGGGTCCAAGGGCAACCCCCCGGGCATGGGACCAGCTGCAGCACAGGAATTTGGGGAGAGCACCCTGAGCCCAAGGTCGTTCTTGGAATTCCGCACAGCCGCCTGCTGCTGAGCTTATCAGGGCCTCACAGCCACCCTCCTGCACCCCTCACACCCCCCTGCTGCCACCCCGGGCACGCCCCGGCAGCCACAGCTCAGCTGGGAGCCCCGTGTGCCCTCCCCGGAGCATGGGGACCCCTGCCCTGCCCGCTCCATGGACAGTAAGTGCAGCGTGCTCGGGGGTGAGGGCAGCATGGGGGGCACCCTGTGTCCCCCCTACCTTGGAGGGAGCGGTGCCCACGCAGGGAGGGTGGCAGGGAGGGTGGCAGTGAGGGCTGGCGCTGTCTGGGGTGGGCAGGGCAGCTCTGGGACACGGGACACGTGCTGGGATGTTGGTGGGTATCAGCTGGTGTGGGGCAGCCCTCAGCTCAGAGTGGGCACAGGGTGGGTGCGCTGCAGCTCTGTGCAGAACCCCCAGGATTGGGGGGCCCTGGAAGGTGCCCCAGATGTCTCCTTATGGTGGGGGTCCCAGGACAGGCTGGTGGCAATGTCATCTGCTCTGCCCAGCATTCCCATGGCGCTTGGCTGGGCCGGGGGCAGCCCAGCATGGGGGAGGCAAACCCAGGAGCCCCGAGGCCCTGCAGCCCCACAGCCCCAGACGGAGCTGAGGGAGGGGAAATGTTTTGGGTGCAGCTCTGGGAGGGGCTGTTCCTCTTGCGTGGAGCCGGCAGGGAGCTCTGATAACAGCCCAGCTGCTTTCGGTGTCCCTGTCCCCCCTGTGCCAGCTGCCAGCGCTCCCCAGTGAGGGGGTCCCCTTCCAGCCGGGATTTCATCCTCCCAAACATGGTAAGAGGCGTGGGCAGCTGGTTTTCATTATCCTCGTCACTGGGGACAATAAAAGAGCAAGAGTGAATCACAGCAGGGGAATTAAAAGGTAATTTCAGCTGGGCACAGCTTCAGGAAGAGAGGCCGGGCACAGGGCTGGGCACAGGGCTGGGCAGCGGTGAGCATGGCCTGGGGCTGGCCAGGACGTCCCAGCTCATGAGAGTGACGTGCTCCTGCCCCAGGAAAGGTTTAAAAGCTCCTGCCCCAGCCCCACTTTTGCTTTGTGGGAGGATGGTGCATCCCAGGAGGGCTGGGGGTCACCAGAGGCGCTGCAGGAAGGAGGCAGGACAGAGTGCCCATCACCCTGGGGATGAGCCAGGATGCTCCAGGGAACACCGGGCACCTGCCTCCACCTGGGCAGCCTCATCCCAGGACGTGGCCCCAGGCTCTGGGCTGCCCCTGCTGTCACCGTGGCCTTGCTCCAGTTTTGCTGCACATTGCCAGGAAGCCGTGAGTGCCCGGGAGTGGTGCCCAGCGGTGACACACCCTGACCTGCTCGGGCTCACAGGAGTGACAGGGGATGGCAAAGCCGTGGCTGAATCTCGGCAAATAGCGGCACAGGACGTGGTGCTGGCTCCAGCTTGTCTGCAGGTGACGTGTGTGTCACCATTCTGGAGCCAGGGATGGCATCTGCCATGGGGTGGCAGCTGCTTTCTCACCAGGGACCCACCTGTGCTGCCCCTCCCTGTCTGGCATCGCTGTTCCAGGCGGCTCTGGAGGATTCACCCCGAGGTTGGGGCTGTTCACTCCTGCCCTGTGTGCCAGGGGGTTAAAGTCTTCTCGTTTTATGAGCCATGAAACGGTTTTTATGACCCCACTGTTTCTAGAAATGGGCTGTTCGGAGGTTCCTTTCTGTAAATGGCACAAGGAGATGTTCCATGCAGGAGTGGCACAGGCACTGGCACTGCCTCCCTGCCCTGTGCACGTGGAGAGGCCGAGGCTGTCGGTGCCCCAGCGGTGCCCAGCTGGACGTGGTGTCACCAGGAGCTTGTGGCTGAGGTCTCGCTGCCCCTGGCGGTGCAGGCAGCTCTGGCTGCCCGGGCGGGTTTGGCTGTGCTCCCTCAGAGCCCGGCCAGGCTGTGGGACACAGGTGGGGTGGATTTCTGGGCTCTGTGGTGGTTCCTGTTGGGAATGGTGCTTTGTGCTCTGGCTGCTCCTGTCCCACATGGGGCAGGCTGCTGGGGACTTCTGTCCCACGCTGAGGGCACTGGGACCAGGCTGGGAGAGGGGCTGCATCTCAACCTCTGCTCCTCCTGCTGCTCCTAATGGTTGCTCTCCCTTCCTGCTTGCAGGGCCAACCAGGTCGAGACCCTTGGCCTCTGCTGAACTCGGACTCTGAGGGTGACCTCAAAACTGAGCAGTGGCCCCTGTCTGGGACGAGGCTGGCACAGGAGTGACTCTTGGCAGGAGATGGACAGAGTCACCAGGCACCTCGTGTTCCAGCTCCCCCAGGCCTCGCACAGGCACGACTCGCTGGCAGACCTGAGGGCCAGCAGCGATGATGATGTGTTTGGCTCTGCTGAGCACAGCACCCAGAGGGTGGAAAATGGCTACAGCTGGAAGAGGAGGTCCCAGTCACCATCATATTTCCTGGAAGGTGGAAGAGATGTCTGGACTCCGTCCCCAGACAGGGAGTCCAAGCTAGAGGTGGTGAGATCAGGAAGCCTGTATGACCTCCGGGCTTACAAGGGTGAGAGGAAACCCTCAAAGCTCTATGATGATGAGGAGCAAGACCTGTACAGGGTCCCTCCACCCAACATCACACCTGAGAAAGCCAGGGAGCTCGAAGATGAGAGGAAAGAGGTCATCCGGAGCCAGGTGATGAGGAAAAGCTCCACCATCGCGGAGAGGTGGAGCTCCATGGATGAGCTGGGCTCCATCAGCATGGGCGTGGGCAGCCAAGGTGAAGGCAGGCACACGGGCAGTGTCCCCACCAGCTTTGCCATCTGGTTTGACAAACCTTCCCCAGGCAGGGCTGGAACGCCCATTGACCCTGAGAGTATTGACACGGAGCAGATCAACTTCTCTGCGGCTCGGCAGCAGTTCCTGATGCTGGAGAAGACCAGCCCAGGCTCATTTTTCAGCCCAGGGCAGCAGGCCATGTCCCCAAGGCCAGAATCAGTGACAAAAGTCTCCAGAGAAGAGTGGTACAGCCCTGATTTGGCCACAAAGGGTACGAGAGGCTACAGCAGTGCCGGTGCATCGAGCCAGAGCAGGACAGACAAGAGCGTTTACAAGATTGATGGTGTGTCCTCATACAAAACACCTGAGAAAGAGGAGGTTTATGCTCCCAGAAAAGCTCACACAGAAAGGTCACATCCCACCGGGAAGACATCCATCCTGACCAAAGCATGGTCCAGAGAAGACCTGGACTCTGGCTTGGGTGAGATGTATAACGAAGCCACTGCGGGCTATGCCAGCGATGGAAGCACCTCCAATGAGACCCCCAGTGTGGATCTGAGGGCCAGCAGCAATGGGCTGGGCAAGGAGACAACGGTCAACACCGAGACACCCATCGAGCGGGAGATCCGCATGGCCATGGAAAGGGAGGAGAACCTCTGGAAGGAAAGGGGGATCCAGCGGCTGACCTCCAGCAGCGAGCTGGTGGAGATCCAGACCAAGCCCGTGCTCAACATTCACATGTCTCCCGGCCCAGGCAGGAAAGGGAAGGACAGAGGCCGCGCTTCCCTTTACGTCCAGAGGGAAATTGAACAGGAAACGAAGCGCGAGGAAGATCTGAAGAGGCAGGGGAGGCTGCTGGGGGCGTATGACCGGGGGACGCAGCAGGAACTGGAGGAGCGCAGGAGGGTGTTCGAGCAGGAGGAAGCCCCCCCACAGAAGCCCACTCCCCTGAAAGGGGCAGAGGAGAGGAGGAGCTGGGTTAAAGAGTTTGTGGTGGAGCAGCCCTCGAGCCCCAGCCCCGCAGAAGACACCAGGGCTGGGAGAAGCAGCTACACAGCGAGCATCGCCCACTTCCAGCTGTCCCAGCCGCGCTTCGCCGCCAGCGAGAGGAGCCGGGAGCAGCCCTTGGTGTCCCAGCACGCTTCCGCCAGCGCCAGCAAATGGGGGAGCGAGGATTCCTGGGGAGGAAAGCCTCCCGGCTCCACCCTGAGCCCCGCCAGCACTGCTGTCCTGCCCAGAGAGTACTTGAAGCTCTCCTTCTGGAAGCCCAAGGTGTCCTTCGTGGAGGACATGGGGACACAGAGCCCGCTGCGGAGGGAGGACGGCCGGGAGGAGCAGTACCGCCTGCGCACCTGGAAGCCGCAGACATCGGCGCTGATCGAGGAGGAGATCCGCAGTGACCTGCAGAGGGAAGAGGAGCTCCAGCAGCAGCGGCGGCGGCTGAGGGACACCTCCAGCAATGCTGTTCCCCAGGAGGGCTCCCGCTCTCGGCACAGCTCTGGTAAGGGAGCAGAGGGACAGAGTGGCAGAGAAATGGTTCGGTGGGATGGCTGTAAGGATCCCTGTGTGCTGGTAGCAAGTTGTCCTGGGAGAACTTGATACCAGCACAGTGGAGTCAGCAGAACTGCTGCTGAGGAGGAAGAGGCTCTGCAGGATTCCAGAGCTGCTCAGGTCTCCATGAGCTTGTGTCACGTTACAGCAGCAAACGGGGCTGGAAGGGCCCAGCTAATGCGTTTTACCCCTTGTTCCTGCAGTCCCTGGCTGGGCCCCAGGCATGAAGTCCCAGCTATGACCAAACCTGCTGGACCTGCTATGGAGGCATCTTTGGGGCAGGGGCCTGACACTCCTGTGGGTCTCCACCCCCTGGGAGTGGAACTGAGGTCACCCCCCCCCAATGCTCTTTCTCTCAAAGCTGCCTCAGGTGCCAGTGGCAACTACTCAGCGTCCGAGTCTCCTGCCTCCTCTCCTGCCTCCCACCAGACGGGGATCCTGGGGCTGATCTCCTCCTTCACCCCGCTGAGAGTGACCAGTTCCTCCCAGGGCAGTGCAGAGACCCTCACCCCTGACTCGTCACGTTCCAGCCCCTTCGAGGAGCGGAGGAGGAGGGTGAAAGAGGATGGAAAGGTGAACATGCCCACCTTGCTTGTGCCCAGTTGGGGGGCTTGAGCCTGGGGGAATACTGGTGGCTGTTCCTGACTCCCACCTGGAGCTGAAGATCCATCTGCCCAGCTCGGTGGGAGATCCAGCAGTAGTGGCACCATCAAGGGGCCATGTGAGCCCCGCAGGCAGCGCCTGCTGTCCAGAACTGCCAGCACTGGGTGGGACTGGAGAGGAGCAGCAGCTTCCTCCTGTGGGGATCCTGGCCTGGGATGTTCCCCCAACCCCAGGGAGGGCTTGGCTGCATGTGCTGCCTTCCCTTGCCTCTCCTGTGCCGCAGCTGGGAGCCAGAGCCAGCAGCCTCTGGGTATTCCCCTGCCAGGCTGCCATTATCTAATCGTGTTTTCCTCTTTCCACAGTACGCAGGCATCGAACCCGTTGACAAGGTCAACACAGAGGTAAAGCCCTTCACGAAATCAGGAGCTGCCCTGACACCTCCCCTCACTCCTGGAGGGTTGTGGGATGGACAGGGGTGGACAGGACGGTCCTGGCCGCCACGGGGACCACCTGGGTGGACACTGCGTCAGGCAAAACAGGCTGGGGAGCTGGTGGGGGGAGGCGGGGCAGCTCTGCAAAGCTGGTCATTATGGAAGTCTCTTCTTTCTAAAGATCCTGCATGTTCTGGTCTCTGCAGGTGGTGGAAAGCACCCGAGTGTTTCGCCACAAGAGCGTCATGGCCCAGCGCTGGGAGGCCGGGCAGTACGTCCGGGATGAGGACTGAGGGACCCCCGGGCTGGGGGCTGGCCCTGATCACAGCCAGCTGATGCATGACCTAAATACTCGATCAGTTCCACCCTTGGCCATCACAGCAATCAGAGATGTGAACCCTGCAAATCAATCTGGTTTATTGTTAAACTGATAATCCTCCCATGCAATAGATCGGCTCCTTCCTCCTCCTCCCTGTGGGGTGGAGGAACACTTTTTTTTCTTAAGAGGGAAAAAATTGGATCAGTATCTTTTTAATCATTTCCGCCTGGAGCCAGCCAGGTGAAATCACCCGATAATTCACTTTGCCCCTGGAGAGCTGTGTCTCAGGCTTATGAAAAAGCTGTTTTATTTCTCTGTGGTTTTAAGTTTTTAAGTACCGCTAGGCTGAGCATTGCCTTGGGGGTACCTGAACTGAGGCCTCTGGATCAGTATTGCCGTGGGATTGGGAATCAACATTGGTTTAACTCCTCTGATCCATGGAGATGCAGCAATGGTATATAAAAAAATATATAAATGCTGTTTATTTTGCTAATTTATTAAAGAGTTGTTATACTCCCTCAGTCTTCCAGGCCTGTTTTGTCCACCTGCTCCACTGTTTTTGCTCTGGTGTTTCAGAAGAGTCCCCGTGGTTGGGGTGCGGGGCTGGGGCTGGAGCCTTGCGGGGGCTGCGGCCGGGGGAGCACCGGGGTCCCACCGGGCGGGCCTCGGAGCACCCGGGGCCGGTGGGAGGGGTCCCTGCGCGGGGCGGGGGCGGCACCGGGTGGGCTTGAAAGTCCCGTCCGACCCCAACCGCGCTGCGGCCCGTGCCCGTGCGCCCGGCCCCGCTAGGGGGCTCCCGGGCAGCGCCCGCCGGCTCCGGTACGGGCCCGCCGGGACCCCGGTACCGGCCCAATCTGCAAGCGCTGACCGGGGTCCGGTACGGGCCTGCCGGGACTCCGGTACCGGCCCATCCGCAAGAGCTGACCGGGGTCCGGTACGGGCCCGTCGGGACTCCGGTACCGGCCCCTCCGCAAGAGCTGACCGGGGGCCGGTACGGACTCGCCGAGAGCCCGGTACAGGCCCACCGGGATCCCGGTACCGACATATCCACAAGAGCTGACCGGGGTCCGGTACGGGCCTGCCGGGACCCCGGTACCGACCCCACTCTGCAAGAGCTGACCGGGGTCCCAGTACTGAGCCCTCTGAGACCCGGGCCCTGCTCCGCCAGCGCTGGGGGGTTCCCGGTGCGGACCCCGTCCCGTTTGGGTGCTGAGCGGGGGTTTCCCGGTGGAGCCCCATGGAGCTGCCCCGGTGCTGTGACAGCACAGAGCGGGCAGACGGTGCCACCGGCTCTTCCCGAGCGCTGGGCGTGGGCTGAACCGACGGCAACCCGGAGGAAGGAGCCCGAGCCGGGGCGGTGTGGGGGCTGAGGGAAGCGGGGACCAGAGGTGTGACCACGGCTGGGTCACCGGGACCAGCGGGACCCTCGGGACAGCTGCTCAGTCGTGGTGTCATGATGATGCCACCGGTGCTCCAAAGCACAAGAGGAGGCGGCAGACAACCTCCAGCACCTGAGGAGTTTGTCTGGTTTATGTCTCTTCAAACGTCCTTAAGTTACTTCTTGATATTCAATTAGTTGAATGGGACCAACTGGGGCAAAGAGCTTGACCCCCAAGGCTTTGTTTGACACCATGGGAATGGCTCACAGGGCTGCAAAGGGCCCAAAGCTCTGTGCCACGGGGCTGGGAGCAGAGGAGACTGAGCACAATAGGGAATACACCAGTGTTCCAGGAAAGCATCACCTGCTGTTCAGACACAAACAGACAGGACTGAATTAAAGGTTCTTTTATTTGGCTCTGCCAACAATGCAACCAAAAACCTGACCCAGCTGTAACAGGCATTAAACAGTGGTGGGGCAGTTGAGCAGAGCTGAGGACACCTCCCGGTGCCTTTGTGGAGTTGTGTTTTGCACTCCAGGGAAACCACTTACCATAAAACCTTTCAACATTGTCAGACACTTTAAATAACTTCTTAAAACAGCCACAACTCCTTCAATCTACGAATCTTTCCCTAAGGGAAATGACTTGAACCTTGTCAGAAGCCTCGGAGGTTGGGATTGGCAGCATCATCGCTCTCCTCACATGTTGCTCATCCTTCCCTGCAGGTCTGTGCCCCAGCCTGAGCTGTGTGGGGTGTCAGCCTCAATATGTGGGTGCAGCTGATGCTCCTGGCCAGGCTCTGCCATCCCCAAGCCCTCTCCGAATCAGCAGTGGTGTTTTCTAACAGCATTGACCATGTGGTAGAACATTAACTCGTTTGGCAAATGTGAAACTGAAGACTCTCATTGACTCATTGAATTATCAATTCCAGTAACAGAAACAACAACAAAGGAACTTCCCTGAAAGCCAAGGCACTGTAGATCTGTAGGCACCTTCAGTGCCTACGTGAAGCCCAGCAGAAGGATTTTTGTTCTCAACCTACACCAAATATTGCAGTAGGATTGTGTTTCAGAGCAGCCTTGGAGTGGTTGAAGGGGCAAAGCCGAAGGGACACCCTTATTCCTTGGTATTCCTTACGGCTCCTCTGACTTCCTGGGTAATAACTTCCAAGATCTTATCAATTTTGCCTCTTGACAGTGCCTTCCTGCTGTACCACACTTTGTCCCAGACGGAGTACAGTGACTTGGGAGACAGGTAAAGAGGGTGGTGGTCATCCAGCATGCCTGGTGGCCTCTTCCTGGCATACTCCTTGTAACTGGCGACCGGGCAGCTCTCTGGATCCTCAGGCTTGGCAAAGAGCCGTGGGCTTAGCTTCCCTTCGTTTGCCCTGGGACTCAGATCATCCTTCCACTCCAAGTACTCCACCTCGCCTTTGGTCTTCCTCAGCACCACCTGTCCCCAGTACAGCTGGTAGGCCTGGCAGTGGGTGTTTGCCCCAAACCCCCTAATGAGGTTGGTGAACATGATGTGCAGCAAGCCCTGAGGGTCTGTCTTGCTTAAAATTCCCTTCTTAAGAAGGTTTTCCACATCTTCATCTGTCAGGTTCTCCACAACCTTCCACTTTTCCTCCTTCTTTTGAAGCAGGTAACACTGCTGAAATTTATAGGCTTCCTGAGAGGCCCTGAACTCTGGAGCTCTCACCATGTTGTACTGGTAGTTGTGGTCCCGGAGGTAGCGGTTGATGTTGCACCGGAACAAGCTTAAGGAACTGGCAGAAAAATCCACGCCATTGTGTTTCTTGGCAGAGCTGAAGAATGAGACCAGGTAGTGGTCGAGGTCTGCAGGAGGCAGCGTGTGGATCTTGCGCGTCTCGGAGGGGTGGTGCAACTTCAGCCACTCTTCAAACACTTTTATGTCTCCAGTGGTAGAGGTTTTCTTTTTCTCCTGCTTCTTCAGCATATCTAAAAGACAAGACACAGCTTTGTAGACAGGAAGAATCCATAAAGATCAGTAAAACACAAAAGATACAGAATAGTGTCCACCTGCCTTCAGAGAGGACAGGACTCTCCCAAACCCCTTCCCCTAGAACTTTGGGTCATATTTGTGTTCTCTACAAGACAGCAGTGCCCAGATCTCCAGGGAAAGTTTAGCTCCTTTGTGTTCCCTCTCCCTTGGCAGCTGGCCCTGCTCACTGCCATACAGGGAAATTTCCCTTTCACTGTGAAGTAACAGCATGAACCAAAAGTTGGGGTGCATGGTGAGGGAGAACAAACAGGTGAGTAAAAGTGTACTATGATTTTGTTTAAAGGATTGCCGGGATTCCAGTTGGACTCTCTTTCAAGTTGCCATGGCAATACCACATCTACCTAGTTCGATGTAGCATGAGAAATTAATTCTTTGGATTGCTGGAAAGCTCCATCTGCTCGCCTGTGACTCGTCCAGGGCTGAGGATGGGGTGATGGAAAAGGGCTCATGAGCCAACACCTAGAGATTCCCTTTTTTGCACCAGGTTCTTTTTTACAGGCTTAGCTGTCATCCTGAAAGACTGATGGCTGTCCCACTGGTTTGGGGTTTTGGCCTGTTTTGCACTGACTGCTCCAGGTGCAGAGAGGAACAGCTCATGAATCAATAATGCTGAGGCCTCCTCTGAGCCATGAGCCAGTTACCTTGGCAGAAACAGCTACTACAGACACTCCCAGAAGAATTCCCAGTCCCTTCACATGACACATGATGTCAGTTATGAAAATAGTAAAATACTGCTCCCAAACCCCAACTGTGGCAGTTTGTGTGGTTATGGCTCCACAAGGAACAATCCCTAAGCCTTTTCAGGACCAGCACTGGTGCTGTAAGCACATCCCAGGCAGACCCCAAATGCTGCCTCAGCAACCCCTGCCCTTTGCAAGGACATGCCCAGGCCCCTGTGCTGCAGGACAGCACATACAGAAACCTTCATTCTTGAGAGATCTAAAGCAATGTGTGGAGTCCTGCATTTCCTACGCAGGACTGACACTTTGCTGCCACTGCCAGTGCTGGGAGGTTTTGCCACTGGCCTTGGTGCAGCCAGAGCTTTGGCCACAATTTCTCTGTGTTACTTCCTCTTGTTTCTTCCTCTTGAGACCTGAGTTCCCCGTTCTAGCTCCAGTTTTTCACAGAGACTCTCTCAAGTACGGCAAACATACTGTGTGTGGGTGCTGGGTAAAATGGAAGACCAAAGTATTCAAATTGAGATTATTGGGGCTGGGGCACAGCCAAGAATACCTTTGGGTACCCCAGAGAAGGGCATTCCCTACAGGGGTACCAATTCCTTTAGGCGGGAGCTTTGTAGTCCCCTTGAGCAGAAACAGGAGTGCTCCAAATCCAAGATATTTACTTAAATTCTGCAGTACAGATCTTGGCAGTGATGTGAACTCACCCTCCTTGGATATTTTAGGAAAGAGATTAATGGAACACCCCCACACCCCTGCAGGCACAGAACTCCACAATGTCTTACCTCCATTTGAGGCTGCAGGTGGATGGCTCTCTGGACTCCAGAAGGCTGAAGAACAAGGTGTCTGCCCAGATTCTGATGTCTCACTGTTCCCACCCACATTCTCAGCACTGCTCTCACTGGAGCCTGGTGTGCCACGCTCTGGAGGGCTCAGCTGGAGTTGCTGAACAGCAGCAGTGGTTTGGAGCTCAAAGAATATCACTGAGGGCTGTGATTCAAGCTGGGCCTTGGCTTCAGTGCTGGGGATAGGAAGGGGTTTTAAACATACCCTTGGTGCTGCTGACCCTGGGAGGCTCCTTGCTCTGGAAGTTTCAGCTGTGGGCCCTGCAGCAGTGGAAGGAGCCAGCCTCAGGATGTTCCTGCTCAGGTCCTCTGAGTCGCTGACAGGAGTCTGCAGAATGTAGGCACAGGCTACGGGTGGCTTTGCTGTGGGGGCAAAGGCAGCTTTTTGGGAGGCTGCTGGCTGGTGCAATGCCATCTTCTGGCTGTGCTGCATCTGCAACTCCTCAGCAGATGGCTCTGACACATCCGGGCTGATTCTGTCTCCTCGGTGGCCTTCATTTGCCTCACACTGCTCTTCATCAGAGATGAGGATCTCTGTATCTTTGTCACTTTCGGACTTCACATCCTGTTCGCCAGTCTGGACTCTACTACCAGACATGGAGAAGTGGTGCTGTGCTGCAGAGGATGATGTTTTGGGTTTCCTGGTATTTTGATTCCCCTTGGGCTCGTTATTCATTGTGTAGGCACTGTCAGCCTTCTGCTCAGTGACCTCTTGGGATCTGCCACATGGCTCTGTGCTCTCAGAATCTCTTTGATCCATCTCAAAAGGTGATGGGGTCAGCTTGAGCCTCTTTTCCTCAAAGCTGGATTCCCTTGCCGAAGACTCAGGAGACAGGAGCCTCTTTCTCCTTTCTGCAGCCTCAGTCACTTCTTCACCTCTGTTGTGTGACTCCCCACAGTGCCAGTGATAGGCATGTCCAGCTCTGCACATCCACAGCACAGCGTTGTCAATGTTCATGTGATCTGTGTTCTGCATAAATTCCAGGGCTGGGATCTGGTTGCATATGGTCCCATGAGTGTGTGCCCAGATCACAAGGTTGGAGAGATCTGTGTGAAGGGAACCGGTACTGCTGCGCCTTCTGTCACTGCTGCTCTCGCTCTGTAAAGGTGTTGGAGAGAACGTGAGTGAGAGAGGATGTGCAGACAAGAGCAGTCCTGGGGCTGTTTCTGTCCCTCCCCAACAGTGCAATAATTGTAGACCAGCAATCTCATCTCAGGACTCCTTTTAAAAATCAATTTATTCTTTCTTTCTTGTCTGTGCTATCATTTATTACATAACAGAACACTCACCATGCTGCTGATTTCTGTCTCACTGAGCCTTCTCTCAGGTGGGGATTAGTAAGTGATGCTTTGAATGGCCTTTCTCTCTCAGAAACTAAAAGGATCATCACAGGTGTGTGCTCTATACATGGATATGTGTGTATATATACATATAAACAAAGCCCTGACCAGAAGATGCAACTGAATTTCTCCATGCTCAGCTCACTGCAGGCCTGTGCCCTCCCTGGGCTGAGCTCCTACTGCACTCCCAGGAGCTATACACACAAAACCTGACTGGGGTAAATATTTGCAGGATCAGCCTCTGCAACACCAACGAAACGGAAACTAAATATAAACACTGAAAATAGAATTTTACAAACTGAACTCTGCAAGCCATTCCTTCAGCGCTCTGGGGCTGGCAGCCTCTGTGTCTCCAAGTGCTGAACTGCAGGGAGAGAAAAAGGAATAGTGAGACTGGTTCAGCCTGACATTCTCTGACTTTGCAAACAGTAACAAGAGGCAGTTTCCCAAATGAAGGACTTGCACATGCAACTCATATTTATATTAGAGACTAAATCTGAAGCTCTCCCTTCTGTTTGGAAGGCTCCATGCAGCAGCCTGGAAGTCATCCCTGTTTCTGTGTCACAGGGAACACGTAGCATGCCCTCAGCACCACGGCAGCCCAGGAGCCATCACTGACACTGCACACTGGCATCTCAGTCCATGATTAATTAAAAGCTTTGCAATCAGTGATGGTAAAAGAGGCAAGGCTGAAAATGCTAGACACAGGAACCTTGTGTAAAGTGGTTCTTTTGAGCAGTTCTGGCCTACACGGAACACAGCTCTTGGGGAGAACAGGCCCTGGCTGGTGGTCTGTGAGCACACCTGAGCACACCTGAGCACAGATGAGCACCCCTGAGCACACCTGAGCAGGCACAGGAGCTCCAACCCTGGGGCTCCTGCTCTCCCAGAGAGCTGGGCAACACAGGAGAAGCCCATCCCAGCTGACAGCTGTAGGGCTGCTCTGCAATCCATGAACACGGTGCTTGTCCCCAGGGATTCATCTCAGGATTTGGTAGTCAGAGGGTGAGGATGAAGGCTGGCTGAGGTGCAAATTGAGGGTGCTGGCTGAGGGTGAAGCCAGCAGCACAGGGGCAGGAATGGCTGTGAGTGCTGGCCCCGTGGCAGTGCTGTGCCCAGTGCCCTCAGTGCCCAGTGCCCTGGGTGTCCAGTGCTTTTGGTGCCCAACACACTGGCTCTCCTGTCCAAAGAGAACAGGTCACACCTCCCGCAGGTGCCAGTTGATCAGGAGGCACGGGAACTGCTCTCTTTGGGGTGAGCCTGCAGCACAGCACACAGCTCCTTTCTGCACTTAGGTTCCATCAATCCATATGCTCCTTCCTAATGATAGCACAGATAATTTTAGCTCAAATGCTTGGCTGTTGCACGTGCCAGCACGTGCAATGTGCAAAGGCGGGATTTACTGAGATTTTTTTACTGAAATCTGCTGCTGCTGCTTTAACAAAAAAATCAGACAATAAAAGCCTTTTTGGAAGCAGCAAATGCAATCTGAGCTTCTGATGTTAATCAAGGCCTTGTATGGGATCTACTGTTCCTGTGAGCTCACTCCTGCTCAATCCAGCAAACCGGGCAGGGAGTCATCTCCAGTGGCCATTTCAGCTGCCCTGACCCCTCACAGGCTCTGCCCAAACTCTCCCCAGAGGGGTTTGACCTGTTCCCACCTCCCAGGCCAGGGAGTTCACAGCCTGCTCCCACTGAGCCCCTAAAAGCTGAACTTGGGGAAAAATAATTTTCCCTCCTGAAGTAAAAGAGAGTTTTATCTTCAAGTTCAGCCTGTGCAATTCCCCAAAAGGGCTGAGCCATTAAGACAGACTCAAAGGAACTTCCATGCCAACAATCTGGTGCCTTCAGTCAGTGTGGGAAAAGGTAACAGGAACGGAAGCTCTGCATGGTCATAGGGCCACAAAATTCCTGACTTGGCAGATGAACATCTTGATCCCTATCACAGGCCTCTGCAAATGGAATGCTTTTATCTTTCCTTATCTCCAGGCACATGTCTTCCTCTTCCTGATCCCTTTGAAAGAAAAGCCTTTTTTTTCTCCTGCTTTTTAGTTCCCAGCATTGGCTCTGGTGCTCAGCTACAGACCCCTGAGGCTGCTGTGGCCCTCAGACTTCCAGCAGCTGAGATTCCCTCAAAGGAATGGCAAGTGGAATCAGTCTGGATTCACAGTCACAGCTGAGTGAGAAAAATGACCACTGTCCTTCCCCCAAAGGCTGAACTGGCATATGTGTCTTCCCTTGGAATGATAAAAATCCATCTTGATCATTGCCACAGTTTTTACCTGCTTTCAGCAACCCTGGGACTGCTGTGGGGAAGGGTCTGGCCTCAAGAGTTTGGGGCTGAGGTTTGTTTTGGAGCCTTGTGCCTGGTTCAGTGTCTGTGTGGCTGGGAGTGATGTTGTGGGTTAATCCTCTTTCTAGGAGAGGCTCCCATCTGATAATGGACACTGTGTACAGGACCCACACCTTTCTGCAGGAAAACAGGACATTCCAGAGCTGTACAGTAAAGGATTTTAGGGTTTTTTTAACCCATAGGGAATTCCATCTACTGCTAAAACCTACAGTTAGGTGAATTCAGGCTCCCTCATGAAAAAAAAAAAAAAAAAAAGTTTGGTTTTGCTGTTTGGTTGGTTGGTTGTTTTTTTACTTTCTTTTTTTGTTTTTGATTTTTGGGGTTTTTTTTAATCTACAAGGTTTGGCTTTCTCAGGCCCAGCTCTGCACAGTTTTCCAGACCTCAGTGCTGTGGGTGCTGATTTTACCTCTGTATTCCAGAAAATGTGGCCAGGTAATTTCACAAGAGTCTCCAGCACTTCAGGGGAGACTGAACTTTGGGCTGACTGAAACACGGAAATGCTTTTTTCGGTTTTAAGACTTTGTGTGTGTCCTTTGAGTCCTTGGTGGGCAGAGAAGCAAACTCAGCACTTTCTGAGATTTATCCTCCTGTAAGGTCTGTCAGACACAGAGTGACCTGAGAATGTCACCACTGGGATCTTCCTCTCTCCCCCTCCCAGGTGTGCTCAGGACTGAACCTGTGAAACAGACACAGCCTTGTGCAAACAGGAACACTACATAAAGACACTCATTTGGAGGCACTAAAAGCCCTTTGCCCCCTCTGTCCTTGTCCTGCTGCCCTGTGACAGCCCTGGCTGGTGCCTCTCACGGGCTCCAACGCCTGTTTTGCAGATTAGAGCCCGGGACACGCACAGAGCCAGAGGACTGGAGAGCACTGACTTCCCTGCTAAGTGCAGGAAACTGCAACAATCCTGGTAGGAAAACAACAGGATACAGAACAGCAGTGCTTTAACTTGACTCCTGCCCCCTTCCCCACTCCCTTGGGAAACCTTCCCTGGAGGTGAGGAGACGTGGGACAGTCCCCAAACACACGTGTGGGGCATTGCCAGAGCATAGAGGCACTGCTGGGGCTGTGTCAAGGAAGGAAGGGCTGAAGCTGCACTCAAACACATCTGGCTGCAGGACAGGAGCTGAGTGGAGCAGCTGCAGCTCATGGCTGCCAGAAATCATGGAGCTTGTCCCACCCTCCTTAGCAGGAGCCTGGGGGATGGATCCATCATTTCCTAGCACATCGGTTTTCCTGTTCTCTGCGTTGTTTGTTTCCCTCCTCATCTGCCCTGCACAAGAATCTTCTGAACCTCTTCAGCTCTCTTCCCACTTCCCCACATCCTTCCACCAGCCCCTCCTGCCCTGTTTGCAGAAATACAATTCCCAGGATACATCCTGTACTTGCTACAGGGCACCATGCCTCCATTTTGAGAGATGCTCCCAGAAAATCCCACCCGGAGTGTCTGTGGGGGGCAGGATCTGACTGCAGGCACCAGTTCCAAGCTGGAGACAGACCCTGCTGGCAAACCCTGGCCTCCAGCACCACATTCCTTAAACAAGACCTTTTTTGTTCAAAGACTCGGACACCACTTTTTCCCTGAGTTCTAATTATCTCTGCTCCTGAGGGGCTGCGTTCCGGAGCCACTGGCCTGGGCTGCAACTATGAGCACTAAATCAAGGCCTCTGAAAAATACTAATAAAAGCCACAGGCAGCTGGCATGACACTGCATGGGCCACCAACAGGGATCAGCCACCAAACCAGCCTGAGTCAAGGAAAAAATATATTGGAAACCATGAACTTCTATTAATAGGAGCTCACGTTGCATTTCCCAGGAGGAAGCTGGAAAGCTGCAATCAGTGATGGCCAAATCTGTGACCTGGGCAGGAAATGCTGCAGCGTCACTGACACGGTGTCAAGGTGGAGTCTGGGGGCACCCCACACCTGTGCCAGTGCCCTGGGGACAGCTGGCTGGACTGGCCCCTCCATTCCAAGTGCAAATTGTGGCAGATAAGCGCCCAGACGTTACCAGCACATCCCAGCCATGGGGATCGACATGTCCCCCGCTCTGTTCGTGTGACACAGTCCCCTCACCCTGACCACGAGCTGCTGCTGGCGGCCCGTGCAGGAGCATCGCTGCTTCACCCGCTGCTCTCGGTTTGTCACCGAGTGGGCACCGGCTGGCTCCGGTACCTTCCGCTACACGAACATCTTTGGTCCCTCCGGTACTGCCGCGTTTGAGCGCGAATCACCGGGGAACGACGTGGAACGGGAACCCTTTTGTTCCCGCTCCCCTTGGCCGGAGCCGCCCGGTACCGGCAGGGGGAGCTCGGCCCCGGTACCGGCAGGGGGAGCTCGGCTCCGGTAGCGGCGGAGGACGCTCGGCCCCGGTACCGGCAGGGGGCGCTCAGCCCCCGGTGCTCAGCCCCCGGTGCTCGGTTCCTGCCGGGAGCCGCAGCACCGCAGGCAGAGCCCGAACCGGTGCGGCGGGGCCGGGAGAAGCGAGTCCCCGGGCCGGGCTCGGTCGGTGCTGCTCCACCGGCACCAAACAGCCAAAGCGAGCAGCTGGGGCTGGCGAGGGGAGGGCGCAAATCCTGCTTCGTTTCATTGTCAGGAAGTTTATTGCGGTTTTTTACATTTCTGAGCAGCCTTTTAAAGTTTAACTAAAATCATCGTATGACACGAGGTGTTTCGTCAACTATCTGCTAAACTGAACCGAAGCAATCCAAGCCAATCCAAACCCACACACCACTGCTGGGAACAGGACACAGCACCCAGAGTTTTACCCCAGGTTTTGGGGTAAAACTTGCCCCTCCGTGAGCTGAGCCAGACCCTCTCCCCTGCTGTCCCACCTGCCCACAGACCAGAGCTCACGTGTTCCCCCAGCACGTCCCAGCTGGAGTGTGGCAGCAATTTGTTATTAAATAAATTATTGTGACTTGTAATTAGATGTAATTGTTCACAATGGGACATGGTAACCTACTTCTTTTGCAATACAAACCATCTTTAGTGACTGACACCTCAGCTCCAGCCTAGCCCTGTCTAAAGCCTCTGAAATTGAGGTGACTCAGCCTGGGGTGCAAGACTCTGTCACCAGCACCAGGCAAATGCTCACGTTTGCTTCTGCACCCCAAGTGTTTACAGAGGTTTGCTGGGACGTGATGGGAAATGGCTCCTGGAGGCAGGAAAAAACACTGTTGGTACCAGTGTTGATAACAAAGTACCTTGCAGGGAAGGGGAAGCTCCCTGGCTGTGGGATGGCTTGTTCCAGTCCCTGCTGAATCTCCGGCATGGGGAGCACGAAAGGAGCCCCTAGTTCAACATCCCCCTGATGTTGGATTTTGGTCACAGGCCAGTTTTATGATCCTTGGTGATGCCATCTGTGAGACCTAGAGGCTCGCACCTTTGGAGCCTTGGCTCCTGCTCAATTTTCTCCTCTGTCCTTGTTTTGACATGCCCCTGTCTCCTTTACCTGCTCCAAGGTCAGGCAGGCAGCCTCCCACAGAGCACAGCACTGCCCAAGGACAGGATCTCATCCAGGGCACAGGGCAGCCTAAGAGAGAGGGGAGACAGGTGTTTGTTAGCAAAGGGAACTCAGAGAAACCTGCCAATCCCTGGGATGGGATGGAGGCCACGAGCAAAGCTTTCTGCCCTGAGAGCTGAGAGCCCTTAGCTTTGTTGGGCTCTGAGTGGCCACCTGGGGCAGCAGCCAGGACCGACAGGACCTGGAAAGTGGCTCCCCATTGCTGTCCCCCACTCCTCGAGAGGAGAGCTGAGCCTTAGGGATAAAAACCCCACAGCTGGATGATCCTTTGGACAAGAGACACACACTTGGCCTTGGATCCAGGAGAGCTGCAGCCCTAACACCCTGCCCAGAGCGCGAGGAGGAGCAAAACAATCAACTCCACTCCACAGATTCCAGAGAAACCAGAGCCAATGGGGGGTTTGGATCTGGAGTTCTCAGCTGAAAGTGTTCCTGAGGGAAGGATTCTGAGAACTGACTTCCACCTGCTGCAGAAGGAACTTGTCACCTTGCACTATGGAACAAAGTCTTTTCTGAATAAATAAAGTATTATCGTGTACTTTTGAGCCCTGACCTTCAAGTAAGAAAATGTAGCTGAACTGCCCCTCTGGAGGGAACATAGCTCCACAGGGGGAGTGAGTGAGCTCATGGAAATGCTCCTCTGATTTGAGGAGCAGGCAGTACCTGCACAGGAGTCATACATCCCCAACTTCCAGACCTGCTGCCAGGCAGTGGGAGTCTCTTCTGGGCTGTGGTGATGCTGGTTTTACCCAAAAACAGGAATTTGGTGCTGTGGTGCAGAGCAGGGAGCTGCACACAGAACTGATGGCTCTGCCCACAAGGAACCCCTGTGCCTGTATTTTGGGGATGCTGGGGCCCCATGAGACAGACACCCCCTGCACGGGCCCCTGTCATTGCCTGCCATACTCACTGCCCTGGTATCAGAGAGCTCTCCAATTAAATATTAAAACTTCTAAAGGATATTGAGTTTCTTTTGTTCCTTTGGCATCACCAGTGTTCTCAGTTCCCCCTGACTTCACATGCTGCATGTTCCTGCCTTCATGTTCTTTTAATGCTTCATTTCATACTCCAGAGGGCTTCCTTCACCTCCTGTCTGTCACAGGGAGCATCTGCTGTACAATCCACACCAGGAGACAGCATCCAGGGAGTAGGTTGCTCACCCAGATCCCAGGCTACAATCAAACCACCAATTCCATGGTTCTGCCAATGTGTGTCTTCATACACTTGCACCCAGTTTGATCCAGAGTGCTTTGGCTTGGAGTCTGGAATCAGAATGTGAGACTCCTGAACACTTTCACCATCTGAAGCATGAGCAAACCTTCACACCATGACAGTAAAAGCCTCTTAGCCATAGAGCAAGGCTTCCCTGAGCTGTTCCACTGCACAACATCCTTCAGGAACATATGGGCTGGCCACCACGAGATGCCCACAGCATAACCACAGCACTGACAAACCAGTTGAGCCTCAGCAGCTGCCTCTGGGAAGGTTTCATTCATCCCCAGCACTGCATTTTAAACTTAAGTGCCACTGGAACAAACACATCTTTGATCCAAGGAGGAAATAATTTGAAGCTTTGTGTTTAATAGAGCTGCAGCCCTGGGGAAATGATGTCGATCTTGGCGGGGATGACAATGGGGCTCACGGGCGGGCACAGAGCATGGCTGTCCTCATCCTCTCTGGACACAGAGCATGGCTGTCCCCATCCTCTCTGGACACAGAGCATGGCTGTCCCCATCCCCTCTGAGCTGCCTGTGTTTGGACATCTTTGTTCTTGACTCAGTGTGGAAACAAGCTGCACAGCTGAGGCTCCTGAGCTGCCATGTGTGCCACCAAAATACAGGATTTGTTGGAGGGGGGGAGCAGGATTTGGGCAATCCCTCCTGTTCTCTTGTTCCTTCTGCCTTTGGAGTCTCTTGTGCCCCCCTCAGCTCCAGGGGAACCACAGCACAGATTAGGGACTGCAGGCACAAACATGGAGGAACACATGGGCTGTACACACCTGTGTGATCCATGTGCCTGAGGTGGGGGCACACACACCTGTGCGATTTGTGTGCTCTGGGGACACACACACACCTCCCTTTATACTGTGGACATCTCTCCAAATGTTGCTGCAATTTCTACCTGTAAAATCCTGTTTTCAGAGCAGGGAGCAAGTAGCAGGCAGGCTCCACACCGGAGGGAGCATCCCTAGATGCTCTGCAGGTGCCTCTCTGTCAGGGCCCTTTTTCATTTAAATGACCTGTGCTCAGACTGTGACATTCTCCTGTCTGGAATCATCTGGCATCTGTGCCATATCCATTTGAATGGCAGATGCAACAGGAGACACCTGTGGACAGAGGGGCAGAGCTAAGGTTTCAGGAACAATCACGGAGCCTGGCAGGTGAGCGATGGAGATGCTGCAGCAATAATGCATGAGCTGCACCTGCCTCCCCTCAGCCCTGCTAGTCTGGGAGCTGCTGCTCCACTTCCCTCTGAGCTCCACCTGCACTGCTGGGAGAACCAGTACAGCACAGTGGCTCAGACTGGGAACACCAGTTACAGTGTGCTGGGAGAGAAGCAGATCTGGGGGCTGAGTACTCTCAAAGTCCTGCAGAGCCCCCCAGGTTCCAGCTCTGGAAATTGTTGCTGAGACAGTGAGCCCCCTCGAGAGGCTGAGCAGGAAATTGGCATTATCCTTGAAATGATCACAAAACCAAATCATTGGAAGGAAGGGAAGGAGCTTCTCAGGCCATTGCTGGGCACAGGGAAGCAACAGAATGGCACTCAGATCTCCCTGCAAACAAACCACTGACTAAAGCAAGAAGGAAATGCAGAGCTGGAGCTATGGACAGACGAGCAATGGCGTTTACTTCCCTGCCCTGGGATAGGAGGAGATGTGCTTGGAAGAAGGGTTGTTTGTATAAATAAATGTTCATTCTTGGCAGTGGAATGCAAACTATGCTGAGGGGCTGGAACCAGGCACTCGGAAAAGCTGAGGCCAGAGCAAGGGAGAGACGGAGTGAGGCTGCAGGGAGGAAATTCACATTCATTTTTAGCAACTTGGAGAGGCTCTGAAGACTCTTTGACATTTTTAATTATGCTGATGCAGAGCCTATTTCAAGGACAAAAAAAAAGTCAGGATTCCAGGTTAAACAATTAGGAAATTTCACACCAGACAGTGAGGAGCAGCGCTGCCTGGGGGTCTGGAGACTCTCTGAAACACGGGATCATCTTTCAGCCTTTCTAGACAGACGGAATTTGAATGTCTTGCAGAATCCTCGCCCAGGTCAGGAACTCAGAGCATGGCCCTGTAAACCTCTTCTGATGGTATTTTCTGAGAGCACACAGGAGGCAGGAAAGATGAGCCTGAGCCACTGCTCTCTTTGCCCAGGCTTTCCTGCAAGGTTTCTGGAAGGGCAGAAAAGCATCCTGCAATGTGGCATCAACTGTGTCAGAATCTGTAACTTTACAGTGGAAAACATGGCAATTTCTGGTGGAGCGTGAGCTCAGCTCGATGGTGTCACATCACCAAGTCAGGGCCTGTCTGCTTTCCATGCTCAGAAAGTGACCTTTTGTCATGCAACCTTCATGACCTCAGGGTCTCACTTTCCTTGTGTATCTCTGGAAAAGAGCTTTACCTGCTTGCTCGCTCACTGTCCTTTCTGAAAAATGTGTTAAGGACCTGTCCCTGCATTTCAGTTTGGGTGTCAGGGGCCACGGCTGTGGCACTGAAGGGCAGGAGTTGACTGTGCTGAGCAGAGATGTCAGTCCCAGCTCTGGAGCTGGCACCAGGCTGGGGACAGTGGAATGGAATCGGAACCCGCCTTCTCTTTGAGATAATGGAAAGTCACAGGGAGGTATCCAGCTTTGGGCATGAATAAATCATTAGAGGTATGAATTATTCAGGGATCAGCCCTCCACATGTGCTCCATTCAGACTCTAGGGCAGCATCCCCCAATATTCAAGGTCTATAGCAGGCTGATGAGTCCAGGGTTTCCAATAAGATTAAAAGAATAATTGAAAATCCAGTAGTAAAAAGCTGCTGAAAGTGCTGGGACGCCTCAAGCTGGCATTCCAATGGACAGGCAATGTCTGAGCTCCAAGAGCTGTGCACAAGTTAGCCACAGCATGGGATGGGAATAAGAAGTGGCTCGGGAAATTAGGAGCACAGGTTGGAGAGAAGAACTGGAATGATGGGCACAGAATCAATACAGGAACCAACCCAGCCTTCTGATAGCTCGTATCTAACACAAACAGAGGTTTTATCTGGATTTCTCAAATGACAATAGAAACTTTGGTAGCACTTAGGGGATAAATCAAAATTTCTGGCTTTGATCTGTGCTGTGAGATCAGTGGCTTTGCCTTGTGGTGCTTTTTTATAATCTTGTTTATTATGAGCTGAAATGGGTTGAATGAAGAGAAAATCTGGTTTGCAGTAACTGGAAGGATGGCACTGTTAGAGCTGGTTAGAGTGATCACTGTTAGAGTGATGAATTTAATGTGAGAGTCCAGATCATGGACCCTGGGGCCCAGGAGAGCAGCGGCAGCCATGAGCCCCAGGTGCTGCCAGGTGACTTCTGGGGAAGAGCAGCAGCTCTGGGATGAGTTGCAGGGGGGTATAATCAGGCCATAGATTAATCAAGAGATTCATCAAACCATAGCCTAATCTTCAGCACTCCAACCCCAACTAGGAGGGAAAAAACTGCTGTGTTGAACAGGCAGGAAATGGCTGCTTCGTCCTGCACAGGAAATGAGTCACCCCAGAGCATCGGGAGGAGCCGTGGGGACAGGGAAGTGCTGAAATAACATGGAGAAATACAGAGAAGTCTCTTGTGTTGTGGATTAAAAAGCAGGAAAGATGTAAAATGCGAGCTCTTGTGATTCTACTTCAAATTCGAAGTTCATGTTGGTGCTTGCAGCATGAAATACCCACAGCTGTAGAAGGGGGACTCAGGGTGTGCAAGGGCAACACAAACAATGCCCAGGTACAGTTCTCCTGCCTTGCAGAGCATTTCTCACCTGCTCAACTCTTGGCCTGCACAGGAGTCCTCACGCTGCTGTGGTGGCAGAGCTGTCACAGACACCCCGCTCAGGGAGCCCATTCACCAGTTAGGAATCACAGAATCACAGAGTCATTCCCCCTTGTCCAGGCCCTTGTAAAAAAATCAGTCTCCAAGAACACTTCTTTTTATTACTGACAGCACATTAAGCTCAATTCCAAACCCATTTATTTATCAACTACCAGTCAGAACACTCTTTGATAGTACTCCACGCTGCCAAACTCTCATGGATCAATGGAAGAAACACTCCCCTCATCCACGCTGTGTCCTGCTCGGAAAGCCACGTGTGTGCAGGTATGAGCTGCACCTCTCCCAGATGCTGAATTAACACAGCTCTCCCACCCCTGCTCCTCCAAGCACCCCAGCTGCAGAGGCACTTTGGGTCCCTCTCCTGGTCCCTTCTCTCAGGCAGGAAGAGGGGAGGCTGTGGGTCAGAGCCAGAGTGTCTGCTGGGCTGACAAACCCTGCAGGGATTGTGCTCCCTCCGCCCACCCTGCACTAACCATTCCCAGAGCGGTGATGTGGCATCATGAACGATGCACTGAAGAATGTTCTGGCACCATGAGATGCTGCTGAAGCTGCCAATAGGCTTTGAAATAAAACCGCCGTGTTCGCTGAGAGGGGTTGGAAATAAATAAAAGCCACAGAGAGAAGCAGAAGGATTGGAGACACTCCCTGGTTTCTTTGGGATTCAGTGGTAGCACAGTTACCTGTGAGACTTCCCTGCTTTAGGGCCTTGCTGGGAATAATCACAGAATCACAGAATAATGACTCTGGAAGAGACCTCTAAGATCATCAAGTCCAGCCTATGCCCTAACACCACAACTAGACCATAGCACCAAGTGCCAAGTCCACTCTTTTTTTAAACATATTCAGAGATGGTGATTCCACCACCTCCCTAGGAAGACAATTCCAGTATTTTATTATTTTCAGTGAATTTTTTTTTCCTAATATCCAACCTAAACCTTCCCTGACGTAGCTTGAGACTGTGTCCTCTTGTTCTGCCAGTTGCTGCCCGGTGGAAGAGCAGGAGATGAACTTCCAGGAAAACAATTCACTGGCAGCAGTATCCAGCGTGCCCCAGCGTTTGGGTTCATGAACTGGGCCCCTGTTTTTGGTTTTCAAACTGCTGGCAGAAACGTTGGCTGGAAGAGGAAGGAGTGGGAAGAGTTTTGCCGTTTGTGAAGGACACGGTTGTGAAGAGAAGTGCCCATGACCCCACATGGGCTGGGGAGCTGTGTAACAATGCAAAAGGAACAAGCAGGAAAGGGTCGGTTTTGTTTCAGAGTTTTTCTTCCCTGCTGGTGAATTAAATGCCAAGAGATAACACATGCAGGAAGGGCTCAAAAAGGGAATAAGCTGGGTGTGCCCCAGAGCCCTTCCCGGCCAGAGGAACCAGAGCCAGAACCAGGGTGGGATGTGGGACGCTGCTGTAGGATCATACAAAAGAAGCTGATTCATTTTTTTTTCCTTTGCCCTCCTATTTTTTTTTTTTCTATGGTCATTTTCATCTGGGTTTGTTTTTCAAAACAAACACAAGGACACACAGGGGCTGGTCCTGCTCCCTGCTGGGTTTTCATATCAAGCTTAATCTTGTTCTTAAAAGCATTTCCCCCTTTGGCCCAGAGAAAACCACAACAGTGCCACTGGTCACTTGTAGTCCCATAGTACCTGAGCAGATGCTGTCTAAAAAACTATCTTCCTATTGCAGGAAAATGGGTGATAAAATGTTGCACAATCATCATTTCTGCAAGAACTGTGGAAAATCAGGGTGAGCTTGCACAAACCTTAAAGAGGCTTTCATGTCACACCAAACCTACAGAGGAAAGGCCTTTGGAAATCAGGAATCCTGTGGTGGAATTTGCCTGTTTAGTCTGTCAAAGATACCTGAAAAGCACCTGGAATACCTGCACATAAACTCAGCAGCTACTAGAAAATCAGACCCTGGCATGGCCTGTGATCAGTGACAAGTGTTAATGAATGTTTTCAGTCTTTGTTGGGTGTTCAAGGTACTCTTCCTTAAGGTACAGAAATACCTCATATTGAAAAAAAAAAGAGGATTCTGTCTCCACAGCATCCTCTAACATCAAGGGATTAATCCCTTACTTATGGAAGAAACACCTCCATGGGAAATACACCTTAAACCAGGCACACCTCAAGGGAGCCGGGGAGCTTGTGTTGGCAGCTAAATTCCTCTCTTTGATCACATCACTTTATCTCTCTGGCTCTCAGCTACAGCAGATCTATAATATCATCATTTTCCCATTCTTTGCCTCATCGGAGTTGTAAATCTCTTATCTGAGGCAGCAGCCGAGCCTTTCATATGCAGGAGCCAGTGGTTTCAGATGGGTTTAGATGCCTCCAGCAATAGGTCAGAACACACTTTTCCTCAGTTGTAAACTACCTATGGGCCAAACCGGAGGCCCAGTAACACAAAGATTTGGGAATCAGAGTTCTCACCTCCTGGAAAGATCCAGGGCCAAGGGAAGCTCCTGCATTTCAGAGTGAGGCAGGCAGGCAATGTCTGATCCTGGCCACTGAAACCCCTGAGCACTGCCCCAAATGAGAAATGAGGGCTCTGGCCAGAAAACCTGGCACAGCAACACGTGTTTGGGAGAAACAGACCACTTCACTTCTAAATTTTTTTCCTCCCTACTCACGTGTCAAGTTGGCACTTGAGAGAGACACGAGAATGCAAAATGCATGTCTGTACCTGCCAGAGTTGCCTGACACAAACTAGAAACACTGCCCAGGGATTTCATTTGCACTCTCATTTTTAAAATAATTTTCTGAGCCCTCATATACACAGCCGTATCATAGCCCAGGTGTAGGTGTTTCACAGGTTATCACTGGCAGAGGTACTTCGGCAAAACTACCAAATATATTCACAGAAAAGCTCTGTGTGGAAAGGCTGGCAGGGCAGAGGAGCCTGGCTGAGGACAGAACAAGAAATTAGCTAGAAAATTAATCCCCGTGGGTTATGGCAAGTGAGGCTCAGAGAATGGGCAACTGCCACTGGAATTCCCACTGAGCAAATACTGCTTTTAAAGAATGCTTCATCCATGGAGCAGTGGGGGGAGGATCCAGCTGTGCCCGAGGGCTGGGCATGGGGACAGAGCCACTTGCCCTGGTCACCCTGCGGGAGCCACAGAAGGATCTCACACAAAGCCACCACCACAGTCGGTTCAAATTCACCAGAGGTGGCACTTGCAAAGCCAATGTTTGAGGCTTGACAAGCCCCAAATCCCTGGAATATACACGAATCCCTGCACAAATGGGGCCTACAGGCAATGATCGATATTAAGAGTGAGACAAGCCGATCTAATTCTGCACTGAAGTGCCCCTGATGGGCCACAGAGCTGGGCTGGGCAGCAAACTGTCACAACAGTCAGTACCTGAGTCCCAGACGGGCAGGTACCTTTAACGTCTTACCTCACGAGATCTCTCTCACTCTCTGGTAATCTTTATCCTTAAGACATTAACTGCGATCACACACACTCCTGCACTTTAAGCCCTGCGCGAGTCCCGGGGGGCGCCGCGGGCGGACGCCCCTCACCCGGGATGGCGGCGGCACCCGGCTCCCCTGCCCGCCCCCAACATGGCGGCACGGCCCGCACAGCGTGCACGCGGGGGACCCGTTTGCCCGTACCCAACATGGCGCCCAACGCGCGCCTCCGATGCCCTGCCCCCAATCAAGATGGCGGCTCTGGGCGTCATCCCGGCCTCCTTCCCGCTCTGAAGATGGCTCCTCCCCACCGCCTCCCTCCGCCTACCGAATGGCGCCGCGCACCGACGACTCGCCCCGCCCCTTACCCCGCGCGCGGCCAATCGGCTTCGCGCGGGGAGTCAGGGCGCCAACCCCGGGAGGCAGGCGGTCCCGCCCCCTCGTCAGGGTGACAGCTCCGCCGGCCAATGGAGCGCCGGCGCGGGCGAGGCGGGCCGGGCGGCGCCGCCATTTTGTGAGTCTATAACACGGAGCGGTCTCGCTCATCCCGCTATTGCGGCGCCTCCACTCCGCTCCCGACGGGTCGTCTCCGTGTGCAATGGACGGGTGAGTCCCGCCCGGCGCCGCGCCGGGGCCGCGAGCGGCGCTGCCGGGCCCCTCCCGTGCTGCGGGCGCGCCCGGGTCGAGTACCCGCACCGGGAGTTGGGGCGATACCTGTGGGGGCCCACGGGCGCGGCCAGGGCGGGCGGGGCGGCGGGGGGGGGGTCTCGTGTGAGGGCCGCCCCCCCTTGCTCGGACCGCTCCCCACGGGCGGCGGGGGAAACGGGGGCAGCCCCGGTGTGCGCCGCCTCGTGCGTGCCGGCCCCGCGTGCGCTCCACCGCACCGCGGGTCCCGGCCGGGGAGAGCTCGGGGGTCCCGCCCGGAGGGGCTCCGGGGGTCCCGGCTGAGGGGAGCCGAGGGGAGCTCAGGGGCTGCCGGCTTGGCGGGGCTCACGGGGACCCGTCGGGGCTCATCCGGGAGCGGCGGTCCGGGAGCGCCGCGGGGGCGGGTGGGGGGCGCGGGGGTGGAGCGGGCGGGGCGGGCGCACCTGGCGGGCGGCGGGCGGTGATTCACGGCCGCGCTCGCTGCCATTGTCTGGCGCTTCCGCGGGCGGGGGCGGCTCTCGCTGGGCTCCTTTTGTGACCGGTTCTCGCTCGCCCAAAGTTTGGCAAGGGAGGGAGGAGGAGGGCGGGCAGGGCTCCTTCGCCGCCTCACCTGAGCGCCGCAGGTACAGCCCGGCCCCGCTCCTGTTGTCCCGCGCAACTCCGGGAAGGAAAACTTCCCTCCGCACGCTGGGACTCGGGGAGTTTCCAGAGCTCAACTTTTATCTTGGGCACCGTCGATTCTTCTCTAACCACCGCCCGGCGGGGCCTCTCTGCGGCAGAGTTCGCTCTGAAGCGGGTGTTTTATCAGGGGATCTCTCTCGAAAACGAGCTCTCCGCTCTTCTTTTCTCCTGTCTGGCGTGGGGTTTTTTTTTTAGTGATGTGGTTTTTTGTTTCTTCTAGCGCGCAGTAGTTAAAATATTTCTAAAGGCCTCCGAGTAAGCAGTTTGTTTTCCCTGAGCCGTAAGTACGGGAAGCCCAAATTAGTGCCTTCTCGCTTTCTGCCTCAGAACACTGGTCTGGGCGTAGTCACATGTCTGGGCTTTTTTACACGCTGAAAAGGTGGCGTCTCAGTGTTGTTTCCATCTTAAAACCCATAAAAGTACTGTATCTTACAATTTTTGCAGTCCAGGATCGCTCTGCTGCTTTTAACTAGTTGCTCACCGCGTTGAATGATACTATTAAAAAAAAAAAAATCCAACAAACTCAACGAATTCTCAGCACATGAGATCACACATGCTAGTGGCAAAAGTCGGTTTGTTATCAGCTGTAGTTTCAGGGTAGGCGGATGTTTTGTGCATGTTAAAGTAGTTGCTGTTTAAATGTAGAAGTTGTAGTTAACACATGAGACTTGGTTGCCCCATATCTTTTGGAGATCCTGGTGCAGGATCCGTTTGCCCTGTAAAAGTGTCTCCTGACTCCTACTGAAACTTCAAAAGCTGCTTCGGAAAACCGTTTTAGGTTCTTGCTGAGTTGGCAGCGAGTGGCCCCTGGCTCAAGGCTGCTCCCATCTCCTTCTCCCAAAAGTGATCCTGAGCTGTGCCTAAATGATCCCCTTTGAATAAGTTGCTTTGTTAAAACATGCGAGGAGTCCTTATGGGCAATCTTGCTATGGAAAATGACCTGGAGGTTTTACTGGTGCTGCTTAATTTTTCCTCTTATTGCATAGGAATTATCCCATTTTTCCACGGAAAAAATAATTTTTATGAAAGGCTTTATTGCCTCTTCTTCTGGAACTGAGTTTTAATCTCCTGCTGAAGGCTGATGTGCAGGACAGAAGGAAGTTTGGGATAATTTACTGAGGGGGTGTGTGGACTGGAAATACGTTGCACATTTTTTGAATAAAAATTCTGAAATAACTGTTGAAGCTTGTTTCATGTGAAATGAGTTATCAAGTGGGTTACAACAATATCCCAGGAATCGATAGCTCTTGGCAAATAAAATGACTCTTCCTGTTGCATACTTCTAAATGCCATCCCCTGCTAAGGGACTTTCTGTAAAACATTTCCTGTGTGAGAGGCCCACAGGAGGAACAGGAAGTGGGAGAAACTGCTCTGGGGTAAGTTCGGGAGTTTGGGAAATGTGGGGCATTCCCTGTTCTTACTGTGCTTTGTTGGCAGTAGGTTTTTTTTGTAAGGTTCTGGAAATGCCTGGATTAGTGTTTATGTGTTAGCTGTGGAATGTGTGCTGTGCTTAGGGATGCTGGTTCCTTGAAGTGCTCCATGCAGATGGGTTTCATTAGTTCATTAGTGCTGACCCTCGAGTGCAGCCAGCCCATCTGCCCGGCGGGTGACCAGCGCCGGGCCGTGTCGGGCTCGGCCTCTCCCAGGACTTCCCTGGAAAATCCGGAGCTGTGGCGTGGCTTCCCGCAGCAGCCGTTGGCCGGGCTGTGGCTCCAGCTGCAGAGCTGGGTTGTGATGACACGGCAGGTTGTGGGGAAGAGGAAGTGTGAGGAGCTGAGCTGGCTCCTGCTGGGGCTGCGCTTCTGGGGACGCTCCAGCGGCCTAAAAGATCGGGACAGAGCTTCGGTGCAACTTATGGATTGCTGCAGGAAGGGGAGGCAAGCAAGAACTAGTAAATGCAAGTTTTCTTGCATTAATTCGCTATGTAGAGTTGTACTTCAGGTTTCTTACTGCTGGTTCAAGAAGGACTGCCCTACCTCCTGGGTGTCCCCCTGCTCTGTGGAGCTGCTGCAGGTCAGTCAGCTGGCCACTGCTGCATCCTGTGCTCTGGAATTACGGGCAGCTCTTTGAGAGGGAGTTGAAACAGGCAGGGCTGTGTCCATGGCAGTCCAAAGAGCTCCTTTCTACTCTACATTTTGTGTTGCTGCTTTGCAGGAGGTTGGCATTTATTACCAAAAAAATACAATCACCAGTGCAAGGGTATAACTAAATTCTTAAGCTGTCTGGAGCACTCCCATGAAACAGTAACACGGAGATGCTCTAAGGCTCTGGAAGATCACCTGGGTCCAACATGCCAGGCTATAGGCAAGCCATTCTGACTGCGTTGGTGGACACTGCTGTAAGGAGGTGTGTGTTGTGGTGTAGAGTGTTCAGTGCTGTGTGGTGCTCTTTTTCATCTTAGTTAATCAGAAAGTCTTCATTTTAGGAGGCTTAAGTGTCTAAGGTAGAATTTAATAACTGGGGTTTCTTTGTAGAATTGATAGAGGAATCCCATGTAGGGCGTACCCCAGGCTGGGATTGCCTTGAACTCGGGCACTCTGTTGGTCTGGCCCTGCTCTGACAGTGCTGGCGTGGCATGAGGGCTGCTGTGAGCCCTGGCTCCTTCTCTGCTGGGACAGTGGGCTCTGTCCCTGGGACCACCAGAGCTCTGGTGTCGGTCTCTTCAGCCGTGCTAGAGCCTGGCCAGGGCTCTGTGGCTGTCGGGGACAGGAACCTCAGAAGGGGATGTTGGTGACAGAGCTGACTCGTGATGCTTTTCCTCTCGGTGTGGTCAGAGTTGAGGTCACGTTGCTGGGCTCGGGGGGGTTCACCCCCACCCCGTGCCCTTGCAGGAGGAGCAGGTGCTGCTGTAGGGAGTGGGAGAGCTGCAGTTTTCTGGCACTGCTGGGTCTTGGGTCTCCACCATCACCATCTAATAATTTTTCCTTGTATAAACTGTCCTTGGCTCACCTGCAAAGACAACTGTGCACTTTGACTTGCTTTTTTCTTACTACTGTAAACTATGCTGGATTTTTGTGGCAAACCTATCTAACTTTTTTAATCCTTTTCTTTCTTTTTTCTACAGCATTGTCCAAGATATAACAGTTGGTACAAAGGTAGGCACTTCTCACTTTTTCTCTCTTTTTACACTGCTCAGCATCTGACCTGGTTTTAGCCTCACCAAATGTAGATCTTCAGCTGTAAAGGGTTATTTCTGGTACCACATAAATCGGTTTTAACCAGAAGGTAATTCAGTTTCATGTGCATTTAAAACTTATGGCTCAGCATTTAGCCCTTGTCCTTTAGGCATTGATGATCAACTTTATTGCACTTAGAAACAGCCCTTTCCCTTGCTAAAATGTCAAGCCATGCTTGTTACTTGTGTGCTAGACAATGCTTCTCCATGAAGAAACTGGTCCTTTTCCTTTGGAGAACTCCATTTCCTTTGTTTGTGTGAATTCCTAACTGCTCAGTTATATGTCAAAAATCCTTCTGCCACAAAAGGGAGGGTTTAGCAGCTGATTTTTATCTCATGTGGGTACAGTAAATATGACCTTTGCCCTTCTACTCTCAGGTTTGGAAAGGGCAGCTTTAGCCCTAAACTCAAAGTGCTGACAGGAGGCTCCTTATCGGCCGTGGGTGGCAACAGGCGTCACGTTCACGGGATCAGCACCGGTGCCGTGAAACGCCGAGCTGGAACGTGCAAGGCCAGAGTGGACCGAGGGGTTAGGCTTTGGTTTGGCCAGTGTTGTAACTCTGGGGTCAGGACTGCAGTGAACTCAGCCCTATGTGTGTGTTGGCTGTGTTGATGTGGCTGAGTGGCACATGGGGAGGCAGTGACTGAGAGCCACGAGTGACCACTCAAAAGGGCCAGGGAAG